GAGCATATCGAAAATGAGTTCACAAGCTTTTTGGCAAACATTCTTCTGTCTTCCGCTTCTCACATTCTACGCCGTAAGCAACACTGGCGCAGAGGACTGCATAGGAAGCCGAATCGAAAACTCTGATTGTTTCACGCGCTACAGGATCAAGTTGGTGCAGCAGCAATTGGGCAGCGACCTCTTGGAGGTAAAACTCGAGAGTCTTGGTGCGTGCCCATCTTCCTCTCCAGGCTATCCAGGCGATATCTTCACTCAAAGCATATAGATAAGTGGCCCCGGAGCCCCGGAGGACACCCGGTGTCGCACCCCGTCCTGTCTGTTTGAAGGGGATGCCCAGCCGCTTCATAATGCAATTCCAAAGGCGTCGAAACTGGTGGATGGATCCCGGAAACAACTTCTGATCCAAGGGCAAATCAAAAAAGAGCTTTTCACAAAACCAAATTACAAACTCATCATCGATTCTCCCGTGTTGCCTCCGGGCAAAACGGGCCGTTTTCGGGTTCTGGATATGCAGAAACAGGCAGCTCATCTCAAAATCCAAATCTCTGGGGAAAACAAGGTCTTTTCGTACCAGAGCCACAAGCTCTGAAGGGTGCAGCATTGCACTGAAAGCGAGAAGGACCACACCGGCCCATGGCAGCCACTGCCACAAACAAGCCAAGCAAACCGCCGCTCGAACGGCGGAAGCAGGAAGAACCGCCCTGCATTGGCCTGGTTCATACGCCTGCCATTTCTTGTCGATTTGCCAGGCCACTGACATATGGTTCTTACTGCCAGGATACTGATCTTGTATTGCAGTGATTGTATACACAAACATGTACCGTGGCAAACCGCTTGAAAAACAGTGCAACCCGTAAGCCCGAACAGCCCAGCACAAGGCTGAGCAATCTCGTTCAAGCTTGCTCCAGCTGTTTGGAAACTCGTTCTCGACCCAGAGCTTGAAAGCTAGCAAACACTTGTGCATACGCTGGGCTGTGCTTTCAGCGAATCCAACTGACAGGTCCATAGGGCCCCTCGCAACCTGCGGCCTGACAGGCCCTGGGTTCTCCTCGATGTCGCCTGCTAGCAGGAGCAGGAATCGAAGCCATCGAGCTGGGTTCTTCTCAAACCTCGAGGAGGCATGGACGCAATCAAAAGAAGCTGGGTTTCCCGCTTGCAGGTCAGTCAACCATCTAGGGGGTTCTCGAGACGGAGGGCGGACCGCTTTATCTCGGGATGGCTCATCAGCTCTATTATGTTTACTGCCACAGTGAAGGCACCCGGGATATAGCCCACTTCCGATGATGTAACAAACGCAACCTTGCAAAACACGGGAAAGAGCGAAAGAACTAGACCTACCTTTTGCAGTTGCTCCAATGGTCACACGGCTGTCCAAAAGTCCCAGGAAACGACTGTCAGGTTCGCTTTTTGCCATAGCCTTAATCCAGCTCTTATAGGTTCTAGCTTCATTAATATTAATGTGACCGGATCTCGTGAATTTATACCGAAACATTTCTCGAAAGTCAAGACACTCGCAAAGCTCATTGACCCATTCCGGATCATCCCACCACTGTCGGGTGTCGAACACAGGTTCGGGCCCGACTAATGTCAGCGTGGAAATCGCTGGCATCTGCAGTTCTGAAAGAGTTCGGCTGTGCACAAAACTGGGGATCACTCCTCTGGCCCCACGCTTTGCTGCAACACTGCCACTGGCCATTCGGTCGGTCAGACCGATAGGATACGCTCCAGAGTAGGAGGAGACTTTTTCACCTGGCCGTGGTGGACGACCGAACACCGCGGAGGCGCTCGGGCGACATCGTTTTTCAAACTGCTCAATGGAGCTTTTAGTGAAATTTCCTTGAACAATGAAATGAGGTTCCGGACAAGAACAACTACTTTCCAACGCGATCAACCATGGTTTGTTGTGAAGCCATTTGGAGTGCTTACGGAAGGCACTGCCGTAACTGCAAAAGTGGAAATGAGACACAACGCACCCCAAGTGGACTAGAACCCTGTAACAGTGCAGTCGGAAGAGGCAGGAGCCGCCGGGCTGCTCGACGCTAACGAACTGGCCCATCTTAACAGCCACCGTCAAGACAAAAGCGTTTCTGTGAGCTAGCATGTTATGCCAAGCAGTGTAAGGGTCTTTGGGGTCAAATCCAAATGGTTCCGCACTGGACCTGACTTCTGGCCTTCGTAGAGTCCCAAAACTAGGACAAGGCATGCCAGAATGCCACTCCCGGACCACTCGTCGCGCAGCAAGCCCAACCAGCTCGCGCGCGACGCCGTGATTACTAAGGTCAGACACGCGGAGGCGGCTGCCATCACAGTTCAAACCATCGTGGACGGTCAATCCAAGCTGCTCATGGGACTTGCTCCAATTTCCAGTGCCTCTGGAAATTTCGACACAATCAAACAGGATTCCTTCATTCAAACAAGGGGGGACTTGAGCAAACATTTCGCTGGAAAGAGGCTCAACAGGTTGACAGGTTAAATCAGCAGCAACATGATCAAGGCCTTTTTCAGTTAAGTAAGCCGAGGCTGGGGATTGCAGTCGGGTGTAGAACCCTTTCTGTTCTGAGTGTCTCCAAAGCTCACGACTAACGTGTGTACCTACTTGGGCCGAACAAACAGCACCACCTGACGGACTGGCATCAGTGGTGAACAACTTTTTGGAATATGAAACTCGCAAATCGGCTTGGGCGACCGGTCCGAGCAACCCAAGAATCTGCAGTTCATTTCGGCATTGTCTTGACAGTGTGAAGACTTGGTTCTGCGGACGGCCAGAACCGTCACTGAACACAGCATCCATGACCGCAAATAACACTCTTCTAAAAAGCAGAACGTGCACCCAACAACCGGTGAGAATTGACAAGAGCTTAGGTGTACAGGAGCCGCGCGCAGCGATCGTGAGGCTGAGCAGGGAAAGCATGAGGACTCTATTCCGAGGACTCATGACCCGGCCTGCAACCCCGTCGAAATCCGCTCCCAAAATGATGCCGTCAGTTAAATTGCGTTTTCGCTTCTTTGGGTGCTGGACTAAACCAACCTTGTTGTAAGCGCGCTCCGCAGCTTGGAAAACGAAGGTGTCTCGTTTTGGGGTCTGCAGCCTATATTCATCCCAAGTGACTTTCTGAATCCCTACATGATCATCTATAGCTAAAAGCTCGATGAAGTCAGTTCTGGGGCAAGGAAAACGATACCGCATGGTCTCATGGACGAGCATAGCACCACAAAGATCCCTGAGCACATGTGTATGGGCTTGTTGCGCGACTTCAACCGCCAAACTGTCCCCCATGGCCAAGGTGCTAAGAGCGATGAGATACTCTCCATTACGGTCCCCGTCCTCAGGAAATCCCTGCAGGTGAGCTAGCTCCCAACCCTTGAACTTACATCGAATGGCATTTCGCAAACACCTTGCATGGCTAACTTTGAACGTGTAGTAAAAATCAGACAAATCGTCAGCTGAAAAAACGGAGCACTTGTGTGGGTTGGAGGTCAAGCAGAGCAATCATGGCACCAGGAGCTAGACTTTTAGTAAAATCGCTAATGCTAGCCATCCTGCCATTAATGACCTTGGGGTTGATGATCAACCTATCATAGTCCGCATCTTTAGGCACACAAAACAAACCCACGGCTTCATCAAAGTTTTTCGACCTGGCTGGAATGACGGTGCAAGCTCCAAGTCGATCCCACCGAGCTGCCAACCTGAGCAGTTCCTGCCGAGAGCAATGCAACTTTGCAGGATGGGCTTTTGGCCACATATGTTCTGGGAGTCTGAGCACTTCAGGGTCGGCAAACGCAGCTTTTACTAATTCATTACTCAGGAACCTCTCAGCTTCAAAGGTTGGTGGGTAATTCCATTTGACACGATCTGCAACCACTGGCTTTGAACCACTGAGGTTACAGCCAAGCTCAGCGGTCGGTGCAAAAGAGTGAGTCGGGGCGGTCTGACTGTCAGCATGTTTGGACTTACCACGTGCAAAATGCCTAGAATAAGGGTCCAGGCCCCTCTGAATTTCCTGCACTAAATTCTCTAGGTCCTCAACCCCCAGGCGGGGTAGTTCCTTAATCATGCAAAACACATCTTGGAACTTCTCGGCAGCCCTCCCCAGATCACTGGTGTAAAAAGCTGGCGCACGCAAATAGTGAGCTACCATATCATGAAGCCTTTCAAGCACGTCGGCCTGAGCTCCACTGATTGAAAAACCAAGGCACGCTGTTTGTGGTGGCCACAGAACATGTCCTAAACACTCCCAGTTCAGTGCAATCACAACCAGCTGCAGCAAACGGTGCTTTGCCACATGGTACCGTCGCCGACGCCGGCGCTTGGCTCCAAGATGTGTACTGCCCGACCATCTCCACCTAGGCGGGGGCACGGGCCACAGGGGTCGACGGGCGTCGCCCTCTACATTGCAGGTTGGTCCCTTTCGGGAACAGTTTGGGCCGTGCAAACTTGCCCTCGCAAAGTGTGCAAAGCCGGTGTGGCTAGACAAAAAACTATAACAGGCTTGATTTACAAGATCAACAGGATTAAAAACTCGATCCTTAGACAGGTCGGGAAGAGCAAAAACAGAAGGCTGTTGAGAGCATGTCTTGGTCTGTTCAGGGTCGTTCCACACATCATCTTGGGGCAAGTCACTGCAGACACCCCTGCTTATATGCGGAGGACCAGGCTCTTGGGAAGCGGCTGAGGCACCGCCTTTGGCGTCCCGGCTCAAGCTGCATCGGAGGCCGCTGCGCCCTGTGCTGGCGCTTGGCCCCCGCCTTTGCCTCTGCCTCTTCCTTTCGGATTCTTCTTTCTGGGTTCTTCCTTTTCCGACGTGGTTTCTTGCTTGGACCCTTTGGGTTTCCCTATCGAAGCCATGCGACCCTCTAAATAATCCAAATCCTTCATGTATGCTAAATTTGCTGACACCCAACTCGGCGCTGCAAGCCGGCTGAACGGTTTCAGACCAGGTCGGTGCTTGTGGGAAAACAACATCTGGGCATTTGGCTCTGGGTAACCGGTGAGGAGCCACCCCAACTGCAACTTCCCCTGATCCAGGGCCACCTGCTCTGTGAACATCATCGCTTTCCCGACGAACCCAAGCATCTCTGCATTGCCGCTCTGGTAGGCAGCGGCCCAGCCCTCCGCCAGCAGCGTGGCGAAATGAGCGAGCAGGCGGTGCTCCGCCAATGGGATCCGGCGCTCGACATAGCGCCGAAGCACCGAGGAGTCTTCCCGATCCGGAGTCATTCCCAGCTCGGCCAAGGCATTGGCCCGCACCACTTCTCCAATTGCCACTAGGTCGTTTGAAGCCTTCGTGAACGTCTCCCTGGCCAGACAGCCTCTGATTCCGGATGAACTTCCGGAGCCGCTGTCCCCGCCGCCGGACAACAGGCCGACCAACGGGTCCGAGGACTTGGTTCCCACCAGCTTTCTCAGGAGCAGTGCATTCTGCTGAAGCTGAGCCACCAGAATCTGTTGAGTTGGATCCAACTGCTGGGACTGCAACATTGCTAGAACCTGTTCGGCCCCATCTGCTTCCGCTGCCTCCTTCTCGATCTCGGCAAAAGCTGACTCGGCTACCGGCGTGACCGGCTTCAGAGCACTCTGACGAGCTGCGGCTGAGGACTTCATAGGGGACGGTCCCGCAAGGCGGTGCAGTTTTGCCCACTCCTCCGGAGTGAGCTGAGCTCCTTGCTCCATCTGTGATTTGAAAAGCGACTGAGCTCGCCTTGGACCAGGAACTGTGCTTCCTACGGCTGGCTGGCCGGCACGGTATGTACTGGCCGGCGTCAGAAGGGGGGCCACTGGCTGCAAGGAGCTGCGTCTTGCTTGCTGCAATTCTGCCTCCAAGGTCGCAACCCGGGCTTGCAATTGCCGTGCATCGGGCTCCTCCTCCAATAGTTCCGGCTCCTCGTCTGCCTCGACACCGGTCAGGTATTCGTCTGCGGTCGCGACATCCATTCCTCCAGCAATCCAAGCATCGCCCTGAGCTAAGGCTGCCGCTGCCACTGGGCGGCAGGCCGCACCATGTTCTTCGAAGCCATGCAAAACCACATCTTTTACTCCCGCGAGGCGGGGATTTGGCGCCTCGAAGAAGTTTTGAGCATAAGCTACTGGCACATCGACCAGCAGGGCACCTAATTCTCCCACCGCTCTCCCGCGGTTGGTACACATTGAGATCATGCACTCCGAGGTAGCTGCTGCTTCGCCCCCTCCGGAATCCAGCATAGCGATGCCTGTTTGAACGGCTTCCGCCGGAGACATAGCTACCATGAATCCGGAAGTCCTGCAATACAGCAGGTAAGCAACAGCCGCTTCGGTGACTTTTCCATCCTCCTCTTGCAAAGCCAGCCATAAGCATGGCAAGCTCCCGGCTCGATCCGCAGAGACCTTTGACCCTAGGATCTGAACACTCTCCGCGGAGAGCGCTCTCAGCGAAGCTGCGGCGGCCATGGAAGGATAGCACCACGACTGACCTCCCGTTGGTACACGATATAGTTTCTGGTCCAAAACCCGTGGGGATAATCCAAAGATCTCAAAACCAGGTAATACGAATTGCGAAATGGAATGACCAAGGACCCTTCTCCCAAGATCTCCTCACCAAGCCGTCGCCTGGCCAAGATCCCGGCCCTGAAGGCTCGTGCCACCCTAGCCTTTGGGGCCCAGACACTGTGAGGCGCTCGAAGACGACCCAACAAGTGCCCTAGACTTTCCAAAAACAGCTGATCCAAGGCACGAGGCGAAGAGGCCTCAGTCACTGGCTCCTCCGACTGACTGCTGAAGGTGTAAAGCTCCTGGAAAGGCCCAGAAGCCGGCCCTGAATACCCACTTGACGGAGAACCAAAGCTTGAAACTTGGCCCACCACCTCGAATCCACTAGAAGTGCTCGACCCGGCCACGGACCAAACACTCACAGTGATTTCCAATTCTCTGACCCGCAGCGTGATTTCCTCGACGAGATCAGGTGAGTTGGATTGACGAATGCACCCCTAGGGGCGACGGTATTGAGCAAGCCTGACTCCTAGGTCAGGGGGGGGCACCCGGGTTGGTAGGTTGCAGCAATGAGGTGAGCAAACGGAGAACCAAGATCAATCCACCCCTACACCGCTGGGAAGTCACCAAGAGGGTTGCCACTGAGCCCAGGCACAATCCAATTCCAAACACCAAGATGGATCCGAGAAGGATGAAGCCCCACGGACAGCTATTGCAGGAAGGAGCTTGCCACCACCGCAATTCACGGAGCACTTCTAGGCCCCAAGCGCTGATGCTCATTTGACCCCAAGAAGCTTGAGCCAAGTGGAAATTCAAAATGCTCAAGGGATAGTGGTTCATATACTGTAAAAAACATATAATAGATACACTCCCTGGAACTAACATGGAAGTGGATGGCCTGGCCCACAAAGGAAGACCATTTCCACTACAAACGTTGTCCACTTCCATGTTAGTTCCGGGGAGAGTATCATGTTCAAGGTAAAGGTCGAACATGAAACGACTTATGAAGCATGAGAGACATCGTCTTCAAGGTAAGGGTCGAACATGAAACGAATCACGAAGCATGAGAGATCAAGGCATCTGGGAGCATCTGAGCTTTGCGTTTGGAGCCTGGCAGTGTGCAAATCATCATGAGTTTTCACCCCACCATCCCCGCACCAGTCAGCTCTCTGGATAGTCCAATCGGCTTAAACGGAGGGAGGAAAACACCATGCTCACGTGCTTGGCTCAACTTGGCTCTACTTGGCTCTCATCGGATGTGGGGAGAATCTGGATCCCGCCAGGCGGATGTGGATCGGAGGTCCCGCCTGCCAAGACGGAGGTGCTCCGGATTGAGAGGTCCGGGCGCTTCTGAGCAGCCTCGCTTTCGCGCGTCCCACGGGCCGGGGGGACGCTGGGATGTCATAGAATGTGTGGGGTAGATGAACTCACAACTGAACTCACAACTTGGGAAAGAAAACAGTGTTTGGTACAACCTGCTCTGCCCACCCAGCCAGTTCAAGAATCTCCCACAAGTGAATGCAACAAAACAGCACATCTAGGCCACCTAGTACTGCACTAATGCCTTGAAAAAAGGACCATCAATAGCCTGAAGGACACCAATTCCACACTTTCGAGTGATCTTGCTGAAACCTTCCGGACCTTAGGAGGTGGAATTGTTTCTGTGATCATCTGTGGCAGGTGCCGATACTACTCCTGATGCTAGCTGCAGATCAGTTGCATTTTGGATGATCTTCTCGATGTCCCCACCAGGCCCCGCATGCCGGCCCTCCTGAGAACTGCGTTCTGCGGCTTTTGTCAGCTGGATTTGAAGAGCGAACTTAGTTGAGCGAAATGCCTCTCCAAACATGTATGGAAAGCTGTTTCCAACCACAAAGGTTCATTGGAGACCTCTTTCTTGTGTGCCGACAGGCCTCCCAAAGTACAAATGCTCCCCCAAACTCCGGACCCTTCTGCCCCCGTATGAGAATGAGCCAGCCTGAATAATTCGTGGGCATTTGAGACTCACAGGAATTCATAGGATCAGCCTCCTTAAAAGTTGATGACCCCAATTTGAGTTGATCCGATTCCTTCCGTCCGCCGTCCGCCCAAAGTCAAATCGCGTCCTGCAGGAAGAGCAGCGCCACCTTCGCGGAGGCCTTCGATGGCAAGGCCTCCAAGGAGGCTTCCAACAAGGGGCCATTGAAGTCCTAAGTTCCAGCGCAGGGCTCCAGGTGAGAAAGACCTGGGAGATCTATGGAGATCTGGGAGGTCATTGCATCATTTTGATTGGTCCATTGATATCCATTGATTGGGTTCGTGAATTTCAGGCCGGAGTAGACCTAGATGGGGTGTTTCATTCACTCTTATGCTGATGACTGATGGCAGAGATGGAATGTCAGAATGTCCAAAAAACTCAGCATGAAAGTCCTCTCCCACGAGCACCCCTTCGCTTCACACCTCTTGTGCCCCAAGTCAATCCATTTCCGCTCGCCGTCCCAGTTTGACCCCGACAGGCGCACCGTCCTGAGCTCATGGCACTGAAAAAATCCGACCTCGAAACGGTGGCTTTGGGGAACTCCAGCTCAGTCTGATCCACCCCAACACCCCTCCTCCCCACCGACTGGGAGGCTCCAAGTCGCGTACGCCTCGCCCTCGCGCCGCTCCATGCAGCAGGGAAGGACGTCACGCTGAAGCAGCGTGGCCAGCGCCCGCTGCACGGCCACCTGTCGCCCGGTCACCCGACGGAGCCCGGAGCTGCTGCGCCGCCCAGGCGCTCCAAACCAACCCTTGGCCCCTCAAAATCACAGGGATTTCAGGGGGGCCGGACCGGCCGGACCCCCCTCCGTGTTGAAGGAGTTTCTGGGAGAGATCAGGCAGATGGGCGCGAAGAGGACTCAGGGGGTTCGTGGCACATGGTGCATTCATGGGAGCTCTCCCTGTGTTCTACCACAAGGGTCGGCGACTTCAAGGCCCCCCCAATTCGGGTTTGCAATGGCTTGACGGGCGACCACACCCCTGAACCTCTAAGTGGCTACAATCAAAAACCCCAAAACCCGGGGCGCTCTAGTGGTGCTTGGGAGAAGATGTCAGATTGAGGGGGGGAGGAAGTCTCCCGTTCCCCTGCCCGTTTCCCGCCTTCGCGTTGGCCACCCGGATCACCGGGGAGCCGTGGTCGCACAGGAGCACCGTATCCGTGGGTCTGGGGAAGAAAAGCACGACGCGCCACAAGGGCGCAAGGGCGGAACACAGGTCATAGGTGTGAGGATGAAAGCTGAAAACCCCTGAGTCCTCAGGATTCAGTTGTCACCTGTACTCAGGTGTGAGGTAATCCTGAATTGTTGTTGTCATTTTTGGGAAACCCCTGAGTTGTGGCAGGAATACCTCCCTCCTATATAAATACTTTTTGGGAGTACACGTGAGCACACTGCACACCTGCAAGATCGAAAGCCTGCATGGGCCGTTTGAAGGTCGACAACCCAAGGCTTCATCCTGGTTCCTATCCTGCTATGCTTCCAGACCCCCAAAAAGAATATCAAATTTGAACCCATCTTCTCTTGCATCTTTATCTCTCTCTCTCTCTCCCTCTCGGCAGCGTAAGCGGCTACAACGCAGCCGTCCCACATAAAACACGAGTACATCAATGATGTATGTATCTCTTTCCGTTGGTGCACCGTTTTCATCGACCTTCGAGCCCCCCCCCCACGGGCTGCCCGGCTGCAGCTCGATGTCCTGCAACCGCTCGTGGAGCATCTGAGCCAGTGCCTCGGCGCCGGTCACCTGCGTGGCGACACCGGTGGCTCAACCGGGGCTTAGCTAGATATATGCATATGCTTGGTGGTTGGAAACAGAAGGTGAAGGCCAATGGGGGGCAACTGCCATTGGAAGTGGGTTTTCGATGATGCTTTTTCTGACCTCTTTGGGACCAAGCTTGGAGCCGGGTCCATGTGTCTCCCTGCCTCACCACCAAAGAGTGCAGGGCAAAGGCACACCAGCGGTGCGCCCATCTCCACCTGTGATCACGGAGGCCGCCAAACCCGTGTAAGGATGACTTCCGCAGGGTCCAGGTGATATATGAACTAGAGAGGAACCTGGTATGACCATGTATGACCTGGTTTTTAGTCTCAAGCTGCAGGAGTGGGCTGTTTGTTGGTGCCGAAGGGACGAGGATTCCACCAAGCCATGTTGGTTGGTTGGGGTGGCAACGCCTTCCCACAAAAAGAGGTGGTGGAAAGGCTTGGTAGTCTTAGACAGTTAGGTCATGTTAGGTCATGTTAGGTCTCTTGGGTGGTTGTGGAGCTGCTTCTCTCGTCACCATGCGTTGTCCCAACCAATCATGGATATTTTGAGTAGTGATATCAATTCCCAATTGTCCATCCGCTCGCCACAGCCTCCAGTCCGCTGTGTGCTCGGGCAGCCGTAGGCATTGATTTGGTCAATGTGTCGCTGGGGCCAATGAGCAGAGGCAGTAAACGCACCTCGAGTGATCAGCCACAAAAAAGGGGGCGGGGGGGGCAAGATTGGTGGGCAGTTGAGGCATGCGACATTAAAACAAAGCAAATGTCCCAACACATGTCTTCTTTTTCCAACAAAAACATATGTTTTCTTCTGTCAAATCTCTTCAACATTTCTACATAGCTGGCTTCATCGTTCACCTCCGCGACGGACATGGGGCACCTGGCCATCGGACAGAGACACATGCGCTCACACCATCCGCCCGCCTGGGCTGCAGGATCCTCCTCGCTCACCCGCTTCAGCCAGCCCTCCAAGACTTCCCCTTTGCGCCCGTCCAGGTGCTCCGCCTTGATGCGATCCTCGGATCGAGGGAGTGGAGCGGAGCGGATTGGGGACCTGAACGGAGAGTTGTGGTGTTCCTGGAGGTGGGGAGGAGGTTCTTTGGGGGAATGGGGCCACCTGGCGAAGTTGGCGAAGTTGCCTTAGGATCAAGAAGGAAAAAATGATGAAAAATCGAATGAGGGACCCAAAAAAAACGAACCACTGAGAGTGCAAGAGTGCCAGCTCCTTTGCCGACCCGATGCCATATGCAGCATGCATGTTGAAATCTCCAAGTGATCGATCAAACACCGCCCGCCTTAGAATCCAAAATGCTCTACATAACCATAACCCAATGCTCCGGTGTCGTCCGATTACCAGGACTTTCTTCGATGGCGCCAGCGATAACAAGCAGCACCATCTCAGCCGGTCTATCCCAAGAGTGCCCTTCGGCCAGTGGACAGCTTCAAGGAAGGACGTGACCTCCATCTTCCGCTCCTCACTCGCTCTTCGCATTGTACCATTGTTTCATATTGTTTCTCCGCCTGATCCTACCTGTGCCTCCTATACCATCCTCACCCGGCCCACTCCCTCCACTCCCTCCACTCCTCTGCCACACCCTTCACGTCCCGTCCACCGCGAAGCGTGCGGAGACCGCCTCCACCTGCAGCTGCGAGCGCTTCGACAAGCTGCTCGCTAGGCGCCGCAGTGACTTGGTGGCCTCCAGGTGCCAGAGAGTCGAAAGAGGTCGTGGACCCTTGCAGAGCAGTTTGGCAGCTGGGCGGTCAATCCCCTTCCAAAGCCTTCCAAAATGAAGGCTTATTGTTAGGGGGATTGTCCCCATAGGGCCATAGGGAAGGGGATTGAACCGCCCAGCTGCCAATTCTCCTTCCCCCATCTTCTCCTTCCCAGCTCCGGTGCCCGCCTCAGGCTTTAACGAACCATTATCCACCAGCGCCACCCGCGTGCGCCGCCCTTTCCTTCGTTTGGCCTGCAGGGGGGAGGGATCGACTTGGACCAAGCATCACCGACCAGTGCCCCCTTCCTCCGACAAACCTGGAAGTGCAACAGGCCTTATAAGGCACTCAAGCTGCTCCACCAAACTATGCCGAACACGGATGAACACGGACCGTCATGCAGCACTGACCGTCCAAATCCGGCATCGTCCCATGGATTTCAGCAGTGGGGCCCTCCCCTTCGACACGGAGTGAGGCTCCTGCAGTTGTACCAAGGCCAAGGCCACGCCGCTGCCCAGCCCAGCAGCCAGCAGCAGGCTAAGCATTCGGTCCATCCAGGAGCCCACCAAGGTGGGCGTGAAGCTTCCAGAAGCTAAGTTGGATTTGGAAACAATTTCTATGACTTCCTCCAAGCTCTTGGACGGAAGAATGATTGAAAGCTAGAACCGGGAGAATGGTAGCCAGGGTTGGTTTGGGGGACTTCTCGCTGATAGACTCAGGTCGAATGTGACCCTGGAAGAGTGTTTTCCTCTACTCGCCAAGTGGTTTTCAGGATCCATGTTAGTTTTCAGTGGGGTAAGGCTTGAGTCAAGACTCTGGAATTTGACTGTTGGGCTCTGTCCAGAACTGGTTCACGTGGAGTCTAGCCTTCCAGCTGCCATCTGACTTTGGAAAAGGGTATTGACACTTAGAGCAGAAGGCTCTTGATCTTCGACTGTGCTCCTTGGCCTACCTTTTTCGGCCCGCATCTACAGCCAAGCTCTGCATCAGTGGGCATTGACCTGCTACATGAGCACATCTCCCAAGACCCAACAACTCATGAAACTGTTCAACAAACCCTTGCAGTGTCCCCACCCCAAAAACTGGTTCCCTTTAGAGACTGCCCCAGCCCAGTTGTGCCTAACTGCGCCAGAAATACCTACCGGGCCTACCGCACCGACCAAACTGATTCTTTCGATTCAGCCATGAGGATTCTTGGTAGACTCCCATATGGATCATGTGGGGATTCGATCTTAAAAGCCTCGCAGAAGGGCACCAGCTTAATTAGCCAACCAAGCACCCCGCCGATTGTAGTCCTTGCGGACCCTGCGGCGAACACCATTTTTCTATGTATGTGTTTTTCTTCTTTCCGGCGGATCCCTCTGGTGGAGGGTCTGTCGTTCATGGATTTTTGGGTGCTCCCAACGCACACAGGCTCTGCCCAAAGATGTTCTCAAACATGGGCATCATCTCATCTAGGAATCTAGGCGAAAATAGACTAAACATCCCAAACATCCAAAGTATCAACTTTGATCCAACAATCCCCCGAACGAGTGATAGAATGCTCCAACCGGCGCCCCGAATCTCCCCTCACTCGAGGATCAACCGGAAGATATGCACCAGGCTCCGGGGAGCAGGCTCGGGGTGTAGATGAAAAAGCCCGTGTACTTCCCTGCGTTCCAAAACAAACCCATGTATGTCTGGCTGCTCCCAATCTTGGGGTAGGCCTTCCGACTAACGACATGCAAGTGAGATACTGAAGGCTCGGAGGATCGTCGTGCTTCACCCTTTTGGAGTCCGTGAGGCCGAAGCAACCAGGAGATCTTCGGTCGGTCACGTATGGAAGCACCAGGTATGGAAGTGGTGTACCCATGAAACACTTGCGGAACACAAGGTAGAAACGGCCTTCCCAACACTCTATCACACCTGATGCAGTACGTCAATCATCAATGCAGCAAAAACAAACTCCGAGCCTCCGAGCCTCCGCCTCCAGTGTGCAGTTTCAACTAGCGGAAGAGCATCATGACAAGTTTCGGACCTTCAAGAGTCCGAAGATCAAGCTACCTAGCATGGACACCCACCCACCAGGTCCGTTTGTGTCACTTCCCCGTTCTCCCATGCAAATTCACCGACTCACTTAACTCCTTGATCTTCAGTAATCCCGATGTGGTGCTGGTTTCCGTTGGGAGCCCCACAGCGCCGGAGCAAACTCTGCACGTGCAAGCGGGTCGTCCACCGTTCCAGTCGCGCGGCCCATGCCGCGGGCAAGCAGGCAAAGACAAGGGGGAGAAGACCCGTTTCCGAACCCGGTCGACCAACGAAGGCAATTCCCGCGTAGCTTTTGTTCTACTTACGGCACACCAACTCACGCATCGCGACCCCGAAGAAGAGGTGGGTGGAGTGGTGGGGTGGGGTGCTAGATTGATCAAACGTCGCCCTCCCTCCGAAACAAAAAAACTCGGCGAAGGGTGTCTTGAGATGGCAACCGATGCCACGGGTTCAGTAGTTCGGGTCAGCATCTGCTGCAGTTCCCCCAAGTGTTTTGCCAATCGCCCCAGGACGAGCTGGAAGCGGCTTGACGGCTGTGCTGCGCAGAAAAACGGAGGGGTCCTGGACCGCAAGCAACGCGGTCGGACCGAAATCTGTACAGCGTACAGCTGTGCTGGGTTTGAAATCCCCTTCCTTGAAACAGCTGCAGCACCCCCCTTAAGAGGCTCCCTTTCGAATTCGCTTGTTCACCTTAACATCTTCATCAGTGGCTGCCACCAGCTTCAAACAGGATCAGTCAGAACTTCACTCGTTCGTTCGACCACTGCTGCCTCTCTTATGGTGGCTTTCTTCGAAGGCCTCTCGGAAAAAGACGGGGGCCGCCGCCACGATCCCCTTGAAAAGGCCACATCTCCGCGCCGCATTCCGCGCAGAGGAGCCGAGGACCACAGGCAAGTTGAGGCAAAAGGGTGGTCAGTCACCATAAGGACCAAGTGGAGAGACACCACTCTCCCATCCTCACCCACCATCCATGAATCAGGAGGGAGGAGGCTTTAGGGAGAGGTGATGTTCATCTCCAGGGCATCTTTCTCAAAGCAGTCTCACACAACCTGTAGGTGCAGGAACCTAGCAAACCTCCCTGCTACATCTGCGTGGGCACCTAGGGTGACAGGGCTATGGTACTGGTAAGGAAAAAGGCCTGCTTGTAGTACACTGATCAAGGGCCAAAAGTAAAAAGCCTGCATCCAAAAGCGCCAGAAGACTTGCTGAATATCTGGCTAAATACAACAATCGTGTCCTCAAGGTCCTGGCCCTGGGAAATTTCGGACACTTGTCTGGGATCCTAACCAGGTGAGCCTGTCTGGCCTACACAGGCCTCGAGGCCATGGCCCTGAAACCAGAATCATCCTTGAAAGGGATACTGACCACGTCGCGGAGAGCAATTCGAAGGCGATGGATTCAGCGATGCGGAGCGCCCATCGCATGGGGACCGTCGGGCAGATCGGAGGCCAATCTGCTCCGGTCGGAGCTCGAAAAAGGAGGGGTCCAATATCTTCGAAGATTCTTCACTATGCTGCTGGCGGGGTTCGGGAGTAGGGCGTCCAGAGTCCTACCCATGCACTGCCATGCACTTGGAACCAGGAACCCTTCTCAGGCACAGCTTGTTGAATCTCCAAAAGCAACCCTTGTGATATCTGAGACCTAGGAGGCAACCAGCTTTGTTAGCCCGTTGCCTCTATCAACCAGCAATGATGTATGGATCAAATCCAGCCCCGAAGAGAAGGAGAACACAAGTTCGGGTCCTCCAATGTTGTGAACTTATCCATCAGCTCCGTGGCCAAACTGCTCGGCCAAGGCTTATCGGAGCGTTTAACCCCAGTGACGGCCCCAGTGAAGGAGGCGGTGTGTATAAACCGGGTCTCGGCTTCTAGGACCTCTTTCAGGCACCCACTTCCTTTCTCCAAGACCGGCCCCAAAAAAAAACGAAATCACCGCAGGGACGTCCATGGCTCTGGGAACACCTCCATCTGTATCTCGAGTTCCGCAAAAAAGGCTCGGCACCGCCCTAGCCCGGAAAGGATGGCTTGGGCATGGTGGCTGCTGCTCGTTGGTGAGTCGTCGGTGGGTTTCGTTGAAGAAAGTGCATACATTTGGCACACCTGCATGTTCTACTGGAAGTGGCGCTGCAGGGAGCCAATACACGGTGTTTCATACACGACCTTTGGTACAAACACACACCAAGTCGACCACCATGCCGCTCGTGCAAAGGCTTCTGCTAAGGCTTCTGCCACCGGCTGGCCCGCTCTTGGGGGTTGGGCCGGGAATGTGACAGGTGCCAGGGACAAATTCAGAGCCATGAGGATCACAAAATGTCCCTACTAGGTGGGAGGCCATCGCTATTAGGTTGGAGGCCATCGCTGATGGCCTAGTTCCGTTAAAGGGGCCGTACCCAAAGTAGAGGCCGTCCAAGGTATATAGATGGAAATGATGCCAATACTCAGCACGTGTTTCAACGTGAAGATTTGTTGCTATTCCTATCCTTCCAGTGGTTGGCATGATTCAACACATCCACATAAACACAACGCCAATTGCTGATTTCGAAGATCCAATCATGGTGCCAGGCAGGAACCCAACCAACTGAAATCGTCTGCTGTACGGCACGGGTCTCTTGGCGTCTGCTGCGTTCCTGGCATCTCTCACTGTTGATTCATGAAATGCGTCACCAGCCCCACACGCACCAACGAGTTCACTCCCACGGCGGGCGCGTGCTTGAGGAAGGAGGGGCCTGCTGCCCTGCACCGCGAGGAAGGACTGCCCTTCTGGTGAGGCTACTGAGCTACTGGAAATTCGAGGATGCAAGTCTCATGAAATCATCCCGTTACATCGGATGTTGAAGGATCGACTCGCCCAAAACGTTCCGCGAGCGTTTTGAGCGACCCTCGCAAAGCACCAGTTTTGATTCCGGGGGGGCCAGGGGCTTTTGGTACCCCAGCCTGACCATGGCAAATCACCCCCAAAGCTCAAACCGTCACCCACCTGTGCTGTAGGGGTCCTTCAGCGCAACTTGGCCCCACTGTCCCGCATAGTTTTGCAGCGCCCGCAAGACTGACCCACCATCTCTGCTGGAAGAATCCTATAACCCCAATCGCCTTCAATCCATTCTGCTAATCCATCAGCTAACCCTCTCAAGTCCCTGAACCTCCCCCCAACTCATGCAATCCACCCCGTGTCCCGTCCGGTGTCCAACCACCCCGCACGCTCGTCCCGGTGCGTCCCGTTCCTCCTACGGAGGTCTCCGCTCGCCTGCAAAAGGCCTGGAACCGCTCGCGGCGGTTGGTGTCCGACCTGGCTCGAATGCACGGTGCTCACACCGGATGAACTGGATATGGAGCGTATCGGTGCTGGAGACTCGATTTGTTTTACTCTGAAACGACTGCGTGCACTGAAAATGCCAAGACCAGGGCGGTCGTGAAGAGATCTCACGGGATCTCAGCCGCTCCGCCGCAACACGTTTTGCGTGGCTGGACACTTACCACCAAAGCAAAAGGAAACAAGAAAAGAACATCCTTCCAACTCAGCCAGTGAGTTCCGATTCGTTTCACTTTCTCGGCCCAAAGACTCTGGATGAGGCAACATCCTGCCCGGAAACCCCCCTGTTGCCAATTGAAGAGTAAGGTTGCACTAAGGTGCCAGACAGGCATCTGTTTTCTTGTTGTTGTCTTATCTTTTCTGTCTCGTTCTTTATTTCTTTTGTTCTTTTTTTCTTTCTTTCTTTCTTTTTGTCTTTCTTTCTTTTTTTCTTTCTTTCTTTCTTTCTTTCTTTGTGAAGATTCATTGTTAGAGCCAAAACTCGCGACCAACAACTTGGAAGAATCATTCGCACAATGGAAGATTCGAACGCGACAATACAACAGCATTGCCTGACCAAGTCAACGTGGCAACCCTTCTCAACGAGACAACTGGACCTGTACAACAGCATCTAGCATCTAAAATACCTTGCAGGGACAACCAAGACATACAACGAAACCAAAAGACACAATCATGGAGTAGCGCCGAGCAACAACAGCCTTCAGTATGATGAGGGCACAACAACCTTCACAATCTTCAAGCATTGTACCTTTTTGGCCAAAGTTTTATTTGGAAACTAAACAGGTGATCTTCGGAAACTTTACGGTTTTCTTCGGAAACTCTACGGTTTTCTTCGGAAACTAATCTTCGGAAACTACGCGGTTTTCTTCGGAAGCTTTACGGTTTTCTTTGGAAACTTCTCTGTGGAAACTAATCTTCGGCAACTCAAAAGTTATCTTCGGAAACTTTAAGCTTACGGTTTTCTTCAGAAACTAATGTTGGGAAACTACGAAGAGTCGAAGAGCAACATCAAGCCTGCACGAAAAAGTTTCTGCAAATAGAAAAATAAGCATGTATATACTATATACCGTAGCCGCAGCCGTGACAAGGTACGTCAATAACCCACCCACCCACCCACCCACCCACCTACAATATTGAAAAAAGTTCTGAGGAATACTTTCTAAAGCATGCAAATAAGTTTCTGAGGATCGCCAAATAAATTCGGAAGATCGCAAAATAGTTTCTGAAGATCGCGAAATAGTCTCCGAAGATCGCGAAATAGTTTCTGAAGATCGCGAAACAGTTTCTGAAGATCGCAAAATAGTTTCTGAAGATCGCGAAACAGTTTCTGAAGATCGCAAAATAGTTTCTGAAGAATAGTTTCTGAAGAGTAGTTGTGGAAGAGTACCAAATAGTTGCGGAAGAAAAGTTTCAGAAGAATGGAGAGTTGCGGAATAGGACTTTGTTCGTACCGTTTTTGGCACGATGTGCGTACAAAAGTTCACACATCGAGGGACGGTGTGAAGATACAAGTTGTTTACAACAACCTCACTGTATGATGTAGTACTGCAGGCACCTTAAGCTCAAGGTCCAATACAGCTGCCCATACAAACGACATTCACTTTAACATCTATCTATCTACCTCTCTCTCTCTCTCTCGGCTTAGCTCTCTCGCTGCCTCATCATCTACGAGCTTTTCGGGAGACGGCTAAGACGTGCCCACCTCTGTGTGAGGGCGCTGTGCGCGTGCACCACGGATTGTGTGAAGCATCCTGCAGCAGGGTGGATGAATGGGCGAGTGAATCTGTGATGCTTTTGGTCCACCCCACAGCCCCAACAAGACACAAAAGCATACAAATGCCACCAAGCATTAGAGGAAAATGTGGCAGGTTTCAATCTCTGCCACCCGCAGGAACGTCACAAAGGAGCCCCCTCGCCATCCCAAAAACCCATCACACACTTTGGCACCTTTGGGGGGGGGTGAAGGACTTGCCCGGCCACCGCTGTCCCCGCACCCCACCGGCCCTGCCGGCTCCTGCCGCGCAGCCGGAGGCGAACAGGAGGCCATAGCTGCTGGGCGCTCCGCAGCTCTGCCCGATCTGCCGGGCCAAGTCGATCGTGCACCTGGCGCGCGCTCTTCGGCGCCGTGGCCTCTTCGGCGTTCGGAAAAGAGATCCGTTCGGCATCCCTCTCCCCCCTGCTTCCGAGAGGCGTTGACAAACATGGTTTGACCTGACCGTGACTGGTGTAAAATCCTGAGTAAGACAATGGTTCTTGGATTCTATTCAATGGCAGGGCCAGGAAGCCGACAATCAGAAAGACAAAGAAAGCCGAACCGGAAAGATTCCCCAGAGAAGTGGCCGGCTTTTCTCTCTTCGCAAAATGAGTGGATCGAAAACCGTGCTTGTAGCGGGTCCAGTCTGCTGCAGTGAACACAAGGTGCCGACTGATTCACTTTTGATTCACAGGCATCCACCCAGGCTTACCTTGTGCCTCTTCTTGTCTACAGACCTGTGTCACCTGCACTCCTCCACAGACCTTCAATCTTCATCTGATGCTGGAACCACTTTCCTCAAATGGCTTGCTTTCGGAGGCCTTCTAGGGGTGAGAGAAGGTCCTGAAACTTCGAATAAACTAACCTTTTCAAGGCTTGGACTGTTCAACGAGTTGCCGTTCCAAACCTTCCTCACCAAGCACAGCCACCACCCCACTCCCGCCACTCCCACTCCGACGGCCGCCACGGCACAGCTCGGCGGCGGCCACGGGGTTGGCGCTCCTCAAGGCCTTCCACCCATGCTGTCGCACTGCCACCAGGGCACTGGAAGGAGAGAAAGGGGCGCCTGGCAAGAGATGCCATGGTAACTCATCCTGCCATGACGCCACCTTTTTCCCCCAGCTTCGCATGCAGTAGCAGGCTTCACAGCTAGCATCTTCCCTGAAACTTGTTGACTGGATCCGGCCACCATCAAGATCCAAAGAATGCTGCCCAATCTCAGCAAATTCACTGAACAACGCCAAGGACTTCAACCTAACCTTCACCTAGATGCTCCAGAAACTCCTCACCAGCCAGACCCCCAAAGTCGTCAGTTCCGCCGACTCACTCTCAGTCCCCCTGGACAACAATTAATAAAGATCCACTGTGTTTTTCGCCTCTTGTTGAAGTGGGGACACTTCATGCCCAAGAAAAGTGTTTGCAGGTTTATCCAGGTACTTCGCGGGCCTAGCCCAGGTGTCGACCCCTCACCTTTGGACACCGAGGGCATCTTCTCGGTGTGGAGCGGATACGTCGCCACGCTGGCCAAGGTCACCTGGGCGAGGAGGACGACCCTCTTTCTCTCGGATCGCCCTGGAAACCTCGTGAAGCCCGTTGGCACGGAACAGATTGTTTCGGTGCCCACTGGTGGACACCTTTTCTTCTCGCACTTGCTCAAAGCTTGCTCTTGCATGTTCTGCAGCAAGCTAGTTTCGCGGGCCACCACCGGTGGACGCCGTTTCTTCCAGGTGTGAGTTGTGAAGTCGGTTGCACTTCAGACTGTGTTGAAGAAACCCATGCATGAGCATCAGATTTAGTTTCATGGTTTTTAAGTAAAAGTGGGTTCATGGCCATGGTCGTTTCGGGGGCTGTGCTCCACTTCCATGCCTCCTGTGAAACCAAAAACAAAACCATGAAAGTCATCAACCAAAGAGGTGCGTTCTCATCCAGCCAAGGTGGCTAGGGAACTCCCAGTGGTCTGTGCCAATAGTCTGTGAGTGAAACACTCAAAAGACCAACGCCGGTCAACCTTCCCAGCTCATGAAGAGAAAAAGACCACGTGAAAATCAAACTAAAGAGATACACGTTGAACATTCTTCAACCTCCGTCGCGCTGGTCATTCCACCGGCATGGCCTTTCACACCTTTGCCAGTCCGACCTTCCACCAGCTTCGCTTCCGCTGCCCTCGCCCGCCGCACCGCCCTACCGCCATTCCTCCCCACCCGCCGGCGGGCGGGTTCCCAGCGCAGCCCAGGGCGCCGCGGCGGAAGCGCAGCTGAGGCGTTCCAAGCAGTTCACCTCTCCCGAGCGATGCAAGAAGTTCACCTCATGCGCTGGTGACCCAGTGACCTGGTGACCTGGTGAGGACGGTTTTCGGGGGGCGCATGGCAGGGAACGCCCCCCAGCCGGGGGCTTGGCCAAGGCCGGTCCTGCAAATCGAAAGCTCGGATAGCAAGCATCCTGGAGAACCAGCGCTCTTTACGTACACCATGTACACAAATCAAAATATAATAAGATATACAGTATGTATATATATATACATATATATTGGTTATACAGTTATACAATGTTATACATATGTTGATTGATTGACTGACTGACTCTGACACTGACTCTGAGACTGACTGTGATTGCTTGCTTGCTTGCTTGCTTGGTGGGTGGGTGGGTGGGTGGGTGGGTCGATCAATCAAAAATGCTACCCCCGGTGCCTACAACTCAGGCACCTTCCATGTGCCAAGATGGTTCTAGCAAAGGCTATCTTGGCTTCACCAAGGCACATACAAGCTGCAGCACAAAGCCCCAAAAGGAAATCCCCCAGAGAACTTCAGCAGGTTCTTGGCCAGAACCTGCACAGCGTCGCCAGTGCGTGTGGAGATCCGCGAAACGCCGGCTAGTTCCAACTTGAAAAAAAGAACGTCCCGTTCCCCCCACGGCCTCCGTACCGAACGACATTTCCACCCCAACACTCCTCGCCTGGGGCGCCTGCCGCACCCCTCCGCGCTTCAGCAAGTCCTCCACACTCCCAGCAACAGCCCGGTGAGCCACGCATGCCAACCCGCCGGCCAACATCGTCTGCCACACCGGCAGCGCCAGCCGTGCCACCGTCGTCTCCTCCACCGTGGCCGCCGGCGCCGGCGCCGCCGCCGGCGCTTTCCTTCCGCGGCCCCAGAAGCGCAGGCGCACCGCGCCGCCGCCGCGAACGCCGAAGCTGCGGAAGCCGTCGCGGCGGGTCACGAGTTCAGGGAGCTCGGTCGCAGCGGCCGGCAGCGGCTCAGGAGCAGTCTCGGGAAGCTCAGACTCCTCGAAAAGCTCCGGCAGCTCGAGCTCTGGCTCAGGTGGAATCGGCTCTGGCAGCTCCTCCGGCTCCTCCAAAAGGCCTCGGAGCTTTCGGCCAAGTCTGGCTAAGGTCCGACAATCATGGGCAAGTGCCAAAAAAGGTAGCTTAGACTTAGTCGACCCTCTTTCACCTTCCCCTTTTGTAAACAGAAAGTTCCTATCATGTTCTATATCCCACCTCCATCCACCACAATCAATCTCCACAAACCCATCGATTCTCTCCCCACGCACCGAACCCAAGCGGCTGCACTCGCTGCCCCCACTGGCCGTGGACGCGCTCGCCGGCGACGTGGGCGCCGGGCCGAGGAGCCACAAACGGCCTTGCCTTGGAGGGAGCGAGGGGCAAGGCCAGAGGTTCAACAGAAATGTTCAACGAGTGAGAACTCACCTCAGCACCTCTTTGTCAGGACAAGCCAAAAAAGGAATATCTTGCTTTCACCACCTGTGTTTGTCCGGTTTTCCATGTGATTTTTCCTATATGTTGCTCATTCAGGTCTTCCTAAAAAGGTGAGAAACAGACCGTGCACCTACAGGACTGGCGGGTGTAAACAAAAAAATGACCCAGGACCCTCAGAGATGGTCACGGATGGTCACAGAGATGCTCATTGAGGGTGGTTGGGTCGATCTCACAGGTCTCCATGCGCCGGTCTCGGGCTTGGGGGGGGCCGGTCTCGTAAGAGGCTCAGAATGGGACGCCGAACCGGGCCGATTTCACATGATGTATATGTCGGTCTTCACTCCAGGTGAATCTCTAGGCATAAGCTGGAGGAGTTGGTGGCATAAGCAGTGCGGACTTCTTTGAAGCTGGACAGGCTGGCATTGAACTATGTAGCCGACATGACGGCACAAGCGGATTGTCGTATGGCACCCCATGTCGCTTCAATCTCTCTCAGCCCAAGAAATCGAACCATTCTGGATGGATCTCTGCCCCCAAGCTCCTCCAGCTCAGCCCAGCTCAGCCTTCCACCCTCCACCCTCCTCCGACCCCCCCCCGCCCTCCAGACCTCTCTTCCCAGACCGTCCAGGCAACTGGACCGCAAAGTGCACGGCATCCACCTGAAGGTGAGCCTTCAACAACACGTCCTCCGCAGAACACAAAAAAAGCGACGGACCAGGACGCAACTCGCCCCGAAACAAGAAGCTCCAGAAGGGATGGACCAAGTCGGGGGGGCAAGGTCTGTGAAGTCGATTGTACCATCCCCAAACAGGGGTTCGTCATGCCACCGCTTCAAGGACTCTATGGACTCTTTCCGGTGCATTCCCCACCTGTGCATTGCCCAAAAGGCTTCCAAACCCAACTTCTGCCACCGGCCGACCCCAGGACAGGTCCGACATGCCCAGCACGCGGGTTTCGCGGCGTCCTTGCAATGCGCCAGACCGGCGCAAACGGGCAAGAACTTCTCTTCCAAGGACAGGAACTCGGTCTCGCGCACGCTCTCAGAGATCGCATTGGCCTCTCCAAGAAAAAAAAGAACCGCTGAAAACGTCGTCGGGTAACACGAAGCGACCTATTCCCATCACCCCATCCCATCCCACCAAAGCAGCACCAACTCCACGTTTACCAACTCCAACACCCGCCCGCCCCACACCCGCCGTTCTGTCTGCCTCCCCACTTCGTCCCGGACCTGACCGCGACTCGTGCCTTGGCCCAGTCCTGGGAGTGCTGCTTCGACAGCGACCGGCGCGGTCGCTCCGGCAGGTCCTCGCGCTGCGCCTTCGGCAGCCAGGCGCCGTTGAGGCCGGGCTCCTGCAGCTGCAGCACGCCGACGCCTAACGAGCGGGCTGAGGCGGAGGACGATCTCAGTCGGGCTGAGGCGGAGGAGAAGGGGAGGAGGTTCTGGGAGGCTGCAGGAGCTCCTGCAGGTGGTGAAGATCCAGATAGTCATTCCCGACTGAAACCAGATTCACGGGTGGGCGCTCGCTCCGCCCCCCGGCCGGAGTCGAAGTCGTAGTTGCCGAAGACCATGCTCTCGACGATCACCGTGCCCTCCAGCGCCGCCAGGGACTTCTTGAACTGGACTTCCGGGTCCTCCGCGATCGCGACGCGGCGACGTCGCGTGGAAGCCGAAGCCGAAGCTTGGGGGGGGTGTCCATTCCGTTGTACTTGATGTACTTGGTGCTTCATACAAACTTATATGAACTTATATGTTGAAAAACATGTCATATCAAAGTGGACATGGCCTGACAGGGCTACCAGCTCTCCACCCGATTGGGGCGGTGCCGCTGGGTCCTGAGGAAAGGCTTCTCCAGTCTGGTCTTCGAAGATGAGCTTGTAAGTCTCCACCAACTTCTCCAGCCTCACTCGCTTGGATGGCAGGTGAAGAAACCAGAAGAAAGGACAATAGCCAATCATAGCCATTCATAGCCACTAGGCAGACTAGTCAGAAAATGAATTCGCAAGCTCATCCGCCAATCCCTTCCAAACCCTTCCACCAAAACTGCCCCGACGTGCCCCGACATCACCAGCTCGTTTGCCCTGGAGCCCTTCGCCAAAGGAGCTCGCGGGTGGGCAGCTGCCAATCTTCCAAGCGACCACCAAGATGATCCTCCCAGCAAACACTGCTGAAGAGAGGTTGCTTCGGGTCAGGTGGGAGGGGCAATGCCTTGCTTTGAGGCTCTCCCCTTTTACTTCTAACTAACACTCACTCATCCATCCCCCGCCCTGTCAACCCCAAAGCAACTGCTTTCAGCACCGGCACTGGCAGGCACCCGCACTCCGCAGTGCCCTGTCCTTGGTTGCGAGCTGGTCCTTGAGCTTGGAAAGCTCCGCGTCGAAGGGCTCCGCGCTTAGGCGGTGCACCGTCTTGGCATAGGAGACCACCAGGCGGCGGTAGGAGTCCCACGCGCAGTTGGCGTTCTCCTGCAAAAACATGCCGAAATGATGACTGGAACTGGGTTTGGAGTTTCGCTCCTGGAATTCTGGCTGTGCAGAGCCAATCAACCGGCCTATGGCAAACCCGAACTATTCATTTCCGATTGGCCGCTTCAAGTCTCTTCAAACGTTCCTGGTTCCCTGGTACCGTTCTCGTGACTCATCCCAGCATCCCAGCATACGATATCCCCTCCGTCGCCAGTTGCAAGGCAATCTCGTCGGTCAAGCCCAAGTTGGAGATCTCCTAGGCGGACAGACATCATCAGGCTCCCCCAAGAGCAAAGCAGTGCTATTTGGGCTGACTGTACGGTTCATGGGAAGACACTCACCCTTTTGGGAAAGGCCTGTTCAACGATATACTCTTTGTGACTCTAACGCCCCTGGAAAATATCATGGAACGGAATCCTGTTTTGAAACGCAAGGCTGCCCTTAACATGGACCGCTGCCAACATGTTTTTGACCTTGGCCATTAATGTAACTGCTCTTTGTTCTAATTTGTGAGGTGAGTGCAAGCGTGCAACAGCATCTTGATTGACTCGGTACCCACTCTATGCTGGGCATCTATGCCCTCCATCTCATGTCAAGAGAGTGTTGGGAAGTTTGGAGGAGCCTTGCTCACGACTTAATTATTCATTGTTGTGGCACAGAACCCCGAGGCTTCAGGTGCATTTAACATTACAAGGGAAAAACCTGGCTGAAACCCGTTGCTCACGACTTACTCGTTGTTGTGGCCTAGGGCTTCAGGTGCATTTACAAGAAAAACCTGGCTGAAACCCGTTTTTCCCATCCAAAAATCCCTGCCATCCCATGTCGAGGCTCGGTCTGCCCGTTCCGCAGCGATAAGAGCAGCGGTCCACGGCTGGTGTGCTGATGCAAGGCCTGTCAGGTTGAAGAAGGGGCAGGAGACACCCCTTCTTTGAGACACACTGCGGCACCCGCTCATGTGCATCAAATAATAAGGGTACTCAAATGCATAAACACAGAAGCAAAATAGAGAAAGCCTGGTCTCAGGCAATCGATGGCTGGATGTTTCCAACTGGCCAACCCGCTGTTGCACAATCTTCGTCCACCACCTGAGGAGAAAATCAAAATATGTCCTACATGATGCAGCCTGCAGCGCAAAACCCCACGTCAAATGTCAAACCCAAAAGCTGTTCCTGGACAAGCGGGCTGCTCAAGGAGTTCGCTTTTCCTGGACACACTCTCCACGAGGAACACTTCCAAGAACTACTACAGGTACTGACATTCTGCAATGTATGTCACTTACGAAATCTAGTCACCTAGTCGCAAAACCCAAGCTCTTTATGGGGAGATTGCTCCAACAAGTGGGGCGCCCTTGGCCGAAACAAAGAAATGGAAGCACCCGCCAACTCCAACCCCCCAACTCGGCCTCCAACTGCCTCAAGGCCATTTTCGCCTCGCCCCACTGCGCTCCATCCGTGAGGCAGAACCCCCGTGGCACCGGCAACCCCAGCGCCGCCATCTCCAGCAGCCCCGCTCCGGCGGGGCCCAGCGCGCGCTGCACCCCGCGCGCGCCGGGCGCGGAGGAGGTGTCGGTGTCCAGGCCGAAGAAGCAAATGTTGGGGATCTGCTCCTGACAGAATGCTGAAGAAGGAGCTTTCTCAGGAGCTTTCTCAACCACTTTCGCACCCTCCTTTGTTCTCTTACCCCTTTCGGCGGGTCTGGTGGCTTTCTTTTTTCTGTATAAGTCCTCTAAGGCCCGCTCCCTCCTCCGGAATTGCGAGATGCAGCAAGCTCTCATAGAAAGGAAGAGGACGTGCAAACGTCCCAAACGTCCCCAGTCACGGAATAGGACGTGCAAAAAAGCACCCATCGAAGGAGAAAGTGGAAGATCTTTACCCTACAGCCTACAGGTCAAAGACCTCATTTTGTTGAAATTGATTCCATCCCCAAAGATTTTCCTACTCAATGAGGTTTTCAGGAAAGGTTTTGCTGGGTCGGACTGGACCTGTAGGGTCAGCAAACCGCCCCGTCTCCAACCATGCCCACCGCGCTCCAACTCCATCTGTCGCGAAGGCTTCAGGTCGGAGCCCAAGACGCCCTGCAGGTGGTGTTTTGGGGCAAGTGCAGGGTAGCGTGTGAACGTTCCAGCCATTCTTTGCTGAGTGTTACCCGCCAGAGAGATTGAACAGGCATGGTTCGCCTATCCCATATGTACCACGAAGAAGGGTCCAAGTTCAGGTCTCTCAACCTCTCTTGGTAGGTGTTGACGGGGTGTTCACTTCTCAACTCAATGAAACTCAAACTTCAATGAGCTCTATGAGGCCAGGCATCCAGGGACAGTTCACAGCGGTGGACATCAGAATGAACTCCAAGCAGGGAAGAACTATTCTAACTCTGTGTGTGGAACTTTGGGCTATGCTTTTCGAGTATCGAATCTAGTCCATGTCTGTCTGAAACCCGAACTTTGCGGTGAGACTTGAGACAGGTTCCATCAGATCACCAATTCCTACACCCTTGCGGTTGGTCAAAACCACCCCATGACCATGAGACAAAGCCAGCCCCAATAGCGCAGTAACTCCAAACCAACACCGCACATGCAAACAGTCTGCGCCCTATGCATGCCTTGTCCAGGAGCACGTGTTTGATCTTCTTCTGCCTGGAGCTCTCCTCAAAGGCATCGCCTAAGACATCGCTCAAAGCGCTGCCGCACTGCTCGATGGCCTGTTGGACCACCTCCTCGTCTTGCAGGGCCTGAGCGGGTGGGGAGGAACTGGAGACAGCATAGATGATTGGAGTTCCAGCTCCGGGGTCCATGTCATGTGGCAGAGGCAACGCAGTCCGGCACCTGCAAGGAGGTTCCAGAACACACTTCCATCCATCAGCTAGACAAAAGAATGTCCTAAATGTCAACTGAATGTCAAAAAAACTCATACCATTTCCCACCAACTAACCACAAACCACGAGCTGCGTCCTCCTGGTTACGCCGCACCGGATTTTGTCCACATCATCCTCCCATCCCCACATCCTCCACATCCCCGCCAGCCCCGCCAGGCCTCCTCCACGTACTTCAGCACATGGCCGTTTCGCCCGGCCGCCGCCAGCACGAAGCTCCGCTCCCTCCGCAGCTCCTCCGCTGCGAAGGCGAAGGCGCGGCCGCACTGCGCCACCGCGGCCAGCGCCAGGGCGCGCTGGGCGCGCAGCGCCGGCGAGGCGAACCTGGCGGTTGGAGGGTGGGGACTGGGTGCCCAGAGGGGGAGGCAGTGGTGAGGTGAAGGTCATCGATGGTCAACCGATGGAGGGGGGCTGATGAGATGAGGCTGGGTCTCAGTCTTCGTCGCGGTGTCTTGGGGATGGATGGTTGTTTTGGGGAGAAGGCTATGCATGAAATCGCCCGAGGTCTGAAGCTGCTTCAACACCAAGTTGCTGCAAAGCTAAGCCGTTCTGCTGCACAGCAGCTAATGCCACATCCTCCATGCACAGAGGCCAGGTTCCAAGCTGATTTCGGAAGTTTGGGTTGGTCTGAGCCTATGGGGCAGAAGCGTTTAATGGGTGCTGGAACTTGACGTGAAACCACGTAAGATCGAACCACGCGTGGAAAATGCCCAAGTTGCTTAAAGAAGTTCCTCATGTTCCAAATGCCTGGCATGGCATCCTGTTCACTCCAATTTCTTTATAAGGGGGGTAAATAATCAAGAGCCTACATTAACCTCACCAAAACGAGATGTCCAGGTGCACCCAGCTCATGATGAGATGACTCACTTACTAACTAACCCTCGCGCGCGCGCGCGTATATCGGTCTGTCCTGGTCATTCTTCAGCTCCTCGGATGCATAGCGCAAGGCCCAACCGCAAGAGCTCACTGCTGCCAAGACCACCGACTTGTCCTCCCAAGCCTCAGGACGCGAGTCGCGGGTCGTTTTCGGCATGGCTGGGGGCTTGGGGAGTTGGAGCACCAGCAGGCAAGTTGGACATAGATGAGGTATCGCTCTATCACATTCAAGTGAACACACCAAACAGTGACAAACATCCTACAGATTGCTTTTCCAATGTTTGACCCACACTCCTGGCTACATACCAGTGGTCGGAGTTTGGAGCAACTCCCGATGAGGTATCGCCACGTCCGACTATGTCCGACCGCGACCGGCCTCAGCGGCCTCATTCAGCAACTCACTCCAGTCCTGGAGAAGGTCAGTGAAGCGGCGAGGTCGGTGGGCCATCCAAGTTCGGTCGAAGTGATGTGTGTGTGACGAAGAAAAAAGCCCCGAGCTGCATACACCAGGCCAAGCAGGTTTGGGGTCAGGAACAAAAAAGGAAGTGGGTCCTTTTATGGCTGCCCAAGCTGCCAAAAGCTGCAAATTGTCTCGGTCGCGTGTATGCTTCGAGATCTTTAAGGGCGGATTATGTTACTGTTCACGTCGACCACCTCAAAGGTCATCTGCCTCTGGCGGAGCTTGATTGAAATTCCTAGCTTCCTCCAGCTGCACCAGTAGGTTTTCACATTTCATGTCTCGGAACCCGGGCTTCCCAAGACGAAAATTCCCCACCCCAAAACTACCAGCAGCCCATCTCCCGGCTCCATCTCCTCCTCGGCGATGCGCAGCCACTTCACTTGCTGCTCGCTCCGTCGCACCAGGGTCACCTCGCGAGCGCGCGAGCGGCCTTCCAAATTTGCTGAAGGAGCCTAAGTGTCTCTTCAAATCTGCAACCAGCCCACCAACCCGCAAAACATCCCACCAACACCTCCAAGCCGCACCCCCAAAGCCCATAACATCCTACTACCCTCCCCAGCTGCCCTTTCAAGCCCACTCCACTAAACTTCCCAACAGCTCTCCCTTCCCTTCCCTCGGTTCCCCCCGCCTCGGGATGTTCGCTCGCGAGGAGTTCCAGTGCTTCGGTGTCCTTGAGCTCGCGCAGGCCGCAGATGAGGCGCTGCTCCAACGGCTCCAAGCCACGGGCCTCGGATCGGACCAGCCACCGGTGGGTGGGTGGGTTGCTGTTTGGGTGCATTTTTGGGGACTGGTGTTCTGTGTGTGTGTTCTTTTGGGCTTGGGGATTGGTGTTCTGTTTGGGTTACTGCATGTGTTTTCTGGGGTTCTTTTCTGCGGACTGTCGCACTGTCTTTCACGACCTTGAGCAACACCACCCGCACCAAAGAAGAACCCACAAACAAGATCTTGCGGCGTTCTGAGGGCGGCACTTGAGAGATGGCCTCCTTCAAGTTCCATGTCGTCCAGCCCTCCTCCACCTGGATCTGGCACAGCTCCCCTGCTGCGCCATTCACCGCCACGTACCGCGCCATGGACGCCGACGCGGTCTGCGGCGCCCCTGCCATCTGCAGGGGACGCGCCGCCCCAATCGTCTGCAGACGATGGGGGCGGCGATCTTGAAACAAAGGTGCTACGGGAGCGAAGCGCTCTCAGTGTCAAGCATCTCTGGCTTCAAAGGCTTTGTTGCTGGCATCCCTACCAGCTACATCACTAGCTGAGATCTTTGGAACCGGACTTGTCCCACTGCAGCTAGCTACACTTAAGAACATCACCTCCGGTTGGACGTTGGACTGGATGTTGTCCCACCCAGTTGGTCAGCACTTGTTTTCCCGAAACCGCGTTGTTCCGGCTGGACACATGCAAACTCGCCATGACAAGACCCTGACTCCGCTTGTCAAAGAACAACTCAGCTGGTGCTAGTCCGTCTTCTTGAAAATGAATGCACAAGAGGTCCCGGGCAAAGCGCAAAGTGAGGGTCAACGCACGCGAGTCTCTGGCTTGAACTGGGTCACAATACCTACCGTACAAAGCTGCTTCGGAAGGCTCAGGTGGGAGGAGCGCTCTCTTTGTCTCTGAACGTTCCACAGCCCGGCGGTGTCCGTGTTGAAAACCAGTGAAGCAGCGGATGAAAACACCACATGGCATGAAGACGAGGCTACGGGATCCACCTGACGAGTCTTCAATTTAAACCAGCACCATCGTCACCACTAGTTTGAACTGGCTTGCCTGTGAGCGCCTGCTCCACCAAAGCCGCAAAGCCCTTTTCCACGGTTCAAGGGCTGGCCGTCAGGCCATCCATAGCGTTCCTACGCTAAGCCTGCAAAAGGTTCCAGCCTAAAAGGCAAACGGACATGTCAGGTGAGCCAATCCGTGAAAATCACACGGATCAAAATCTATGTTGGCTCAACTGACTCTGACTTCGCCTACGGTGACCTCGGGAACCGGGACTTTGGCTTCGCAGCGGCACGGAGTCCTTGGGACGCACCTGATGCGATCGACCAACCCTCGTCATCTGTGGCAAGGTGGTACTGTTCAGCCAGTCCACTAAGTTCCATCACCAGCTCCGGCTCGGCGCCGAATTCGCGAAGCATCATTTGAAGGTACTTCTGCCTCCATCCCGGTCTTCTTGAATTCTTCCTCATTTTTGGCATACCTGTAGGTCATCACCTCCATGAGTGCCCTCATCTCGATCTCCTTCAGACCTTTGGTGTCGATCTTCACCATCTTGGCTGCTTCTACTGCTCGTGCGATCAAAACTTCTGAGCCTCGTGTCTCTTGCGGTCGTCGCTTTCGAATCGCCCTCTGCTCGGCAGCGTTTTGAAGCATCACACTCTCATTGTTCAGATGGTACTGGTTACTAGTAATAGCTCCTCTCAAAACATCCATTGCATCTGCGTTTTCCTTTGTTAGAGCGTCTGCTAGTTGTAGCCAGGTTGGTGCCCATCTGATAGTTCCCCAAACTCGTTTCATCGTTTCCTTCACTACGATCAAATCGATGGCAACTCTCTTGTCTGAAACACTACTTGGGGACGAGTATGTCTGTAGATGGTCATAAATACTCTTGCAGTCTGTGATTGCTTGAATGCAAAACTCCTTGATGAATTTAGACCGTTGCTCCAATGAAAACTCCGGAAAACGCAGCTCTGCTAAATGACAAGCAATCCATTCGGTATGTCCCAGTCCGTCCATTAGAGCTTGAGTCTCTCCAGCAAAAGTTGAACCAACGACCCTCTTTAGCCTGTACGATTTCCAGGTTGCTGGTGCCCATACTGCTGGTGCTCCGGTCCGAAGTTCATCTGTTGTCACTCCAACAATGTATCCTGCTTGTGTGCCTTGCTTTCTGGCGTTTGCAAAAGCCGCATCTGTGTGCAAACAAAGTCGGATCTTGTCAAAATGGATCGGCACAATCTTCCAGGTTAGGTGCTTGTACTGTTTTGCTCTTTGGGTGACATTGGCAACTGTTCTGGCTGCACCTAGTGTTGGGGACGGCATGAGTTGTTGTCCCTGACTCACCTGCACCGCTAGGTCAGGGCGCGTTTCCTTCGCCAGCCAGAGTCCTGCTCCAAGCACTGACTTCAAGGATGTTGCCTCCTCTGCATTCACTGTTGTCGTCGCGTCCTCCTTTGTCCTCAATTTGGGTTTCACCATGTTTTCTGCAAACTGTTCCTGGCTCACTGTGATTGCACCTGTTTCATCCTGTGTCAAACTTGATCCACAGAAAGTCCCCTTTCCGACCATCCACTTGCGAAACGGGAATTGCTGTTTGAGTTGAGCTAGGGCCTTCTCAAAAACGTCCCCTCTGCCTCCGAGAACCACATCATCGACATGCACCCCCGTGACACCTCCCAGCACAGTCTCCCCTCACTTATGCCTTCGGTCCCATAACATGTACAGACATGGATCTAGTCTCGACGGTTGCCAACCCAACTTGCGAACAGTCTCGTCGAATGTACTGAACCACTTTTGTGGGCTGTCGTTGAGGCCGTAGAGTGGACGTTGCTCCGGATCGTGATCGGGCAGCTGGACCTGACATCCACAACCTTTGATCCCTTTTTAGCTCCTTTGTTTCTAGGAATGCTCCTGTCACATCGCCCAGCTGTAATGTGAACTGGTTGCTCGCGATGACCTGCAACACTGTATACCTCCCGTTTGTTGAGATTGTCGGAGATTGTGTTTTTCCACTGCGGACTAAGTTCAAGAGGTCGGGGTCCTTGTCTCCTCGTGCTGTCCACCTTGCTTTCACGATCTGTTCACCGGTGTCCTCTGTTTTCTGTGTCAACACCAATCGACTAGGAATCACACGTTCTGGGTGCTGCTGTCGGATTCTCCTGGATTCGTCAAGTGAGCAAGGTCGTAAAGCATGTTTTTCTTCAACACAGTTCCTCACCTCCTTCCTCACTCCCCGGACCAACAGTTCCTGCCCTTCTTGTGATTTCCAATAGTCCTCCTTTGGGTTGATCTCCTTTCTGCCTCCTGCCAACAACACATGAACCTCTCCTGTGGAAGTCTCCTCACTGCACAACACAAAATTTCCATCCTCACATGCCCCCTGCTCGTGAAGTGCCACATTTTGTGCTGCTGAATCCACTGGGCCATTGACTTGTGTTGTAACCAGTGCTGATGTTCCGGACGAAGCAATGCTTGACCCACTCGATACTGGTACTGGTGGCAAACTCTGTGGTGTTGTTGGGACTGGTGGCAGACTTTCCGGTGTTCTGGGTGCATGTTCTCCTGGTGGTGTCGGTAGTGATGGTGGGAACCTAATCCCTCCAACATGTTGCTCTGAACGGCTCCTTTTTGGCTCTGGTTCACTGCCGCGAGGTCGACAGTGTCCATCCAGTCGGTCTGCACGCTCCGAGGACTCTTTCCAGGCTTCCCGCTCCGTGGCACTTAATGACTCCAGCTGGTCACTCAGTGACGAATTGATGGTCATTGGTTGGCTCCCTGACCGACGGTCTGGTGCTTCTGGATCGGGCTGCAAGCCCTCTGGTTGGGGTTGTCCCAACTCTGGTGCTTCGGCTGGTGTCTCCGGAAATAGGTCACCTGGTGGAAAGTCTTCTTTGGTAATGTCAATGAAGTTCTTTTGGGTCTTGTTGGATGGCCCCACCTCCGGAAACAACTGTGCTGCCGCCGCTCTAATATCTCGGACCAAAAACCGGTCAGCCTCGCGTTCCGTAGCTGTTCTTAGTCTAAGCTGCTCTGGGGAACACTTGATGAAAGACCCGGGCATACTGACCCAAAAATTTCCTCCTGCTTCACCTGCAACGATTCCAGGTCCTCTCCATCGGGCCATATTCTTCTTAATTCCCCTGCCACGACGCCAAACTGCTACCTCATCGCCCGGTCTGAACTCCCTCTTGGGTCTGGGTCTGGTATTCAATGCTATGCGGGCTGCCCGGTGATCCAGTGATTGGAGAACTGCCTCGCGAGCTTTCTGCCGTGCCCTGAATGAAAAGGCTGCTATGGCATCCTCTACGATGGCACCATTGGATATAGGATTGGGGTCTTCTGTCAACAAATCATCCCCAGGGATTTCCGGATCTCTCCCAAAGACTAGTTGGTTTGGACTGTATCCTCCTCGCCTCATCAATGCGTTTTTGGCTTCAATAGTGACATCAACACACTCCAACCAACTGGGATAATCCTCTGGCATCATCTGATCGATCACTTTAGTCAACATAGTTGCAAAGTGTCTTCCTTGTACCTCTACGTCTCCCATCTGTTCATGAGCTTCACCTGGTACATCTAGTGGGGTTGTCCCATCTCGTTCCAATGCGTCCAGAAAAGTCTGTCCTAGGTTGCATCTACTAGCATCGAACTTGATGTACTTCGGCCGTCCAAATGAACGAGTCCAGTGTCGATACAATCTAACCAGAAGATCTGAGTTCTCTGTTTCCCGGAAAGGGAACATCTGTTGAAAACCCGTGGCTCTGCAGACAATGTTAACTGCTTTGATGCTCATGTCCCGTTTCCAGGTCGGGAGCCATTTCACATCGAAACCGATGTATCGCAATGGGGCTAAATCTCGAGGCACTGCACTCTCACGAACAGCTTTGGGTGGCCTACGCGATTCACACAGGTCACACTGGTAGCTGCGAACCAGTTCCAGTACCTCCGGCCGTGCCCCATGATGCTTCAGGATGCGAACCATGTCGGCGGTCGATGCGTGACCGAGATTGATGTGCATTTTGCGAACAGCGTTCAACACCCTATCTCTACTAACAGAGGTCATCTCCTTACCATCCTCCAGTTGCACATCGGCCTGACTCACCGGATAGCATGCTGCCTCATATTGTTGCTGGCACGCAAATCCTCCCAGTATGATGTTTATCAACCGTCTGGGGTACACTTGGGTTTGAACCGACCTCAACTGACCCCCTGATCGGCCTTCCACCACCTGGTGATCGTGGTCCTGCGAGCACTCCAGCTTGTCCAGCATGGCCGCAATGGCTTCCGCATTGGTCAGGAAGCTCCATGACTTCTTGAAAGGCAGCTTCGACTCCCTGTCACGAAGGCCCACGGAGCATGCCGGCACCGTGACCCTCTGGCACTCATCAAAGTCCATCAAATGCCCCATCGCCGGCAGCCGCCAAGCAGCACATGTCGCCGAGGACTCGAAGATAAAGTATTTGCCCTTACGCATCCGATCTCGTGCAATCCTCGTGCACCATGCCACCATAGCCCGAGCCTCGATCACATCTCGTTCGCGCTGTTCAGGATCGGCCCTTTTCCACGGTGGGGTCGAGTTCTGAAGCCGGGAGAGTGGGCCGCAAGGTGGAGAGAGGATCATCAAGTCTGGTTCCTCCTCCTCAATCAAGTCCCACACCTTCTTTCGATCCGAGGCCTTCTTCCAGTCCCGGCCGCTGCTGAGGTCAAAGCTTCCGATGACCTTCAGTCCGAAGTCTCCGGCCCGCTCAGCAAAGCGCCCAGGGCAAAAGACCTCTACCACTGATGGTCTTTCCGGCTCTGCCTTCAGGATCTCCGTGAGGTTCTCTTGGATCTTCTTTCTCTCTCCGGCCTTGAACACGCCAATGTCTCCTGTTTCATCCTCACAGAACTCTTCTTCCGGCTCACTTGCCGTCAGGTTGTCCTGGTCACCAGTCACCTCGAGCTCCTCCTGGTTCTGGGTCTCCGTGTTCCCAGTCTCATGGTCCTCCGGGGTCTCAATCTCATACTCCTCCGGGGTCTCTGTCTCTTCCACTCCATCGCCTCCTTCTGGCTTGGGGCTCGTAGGCACATACTCCTCCATCTCATCTTCCGGAATCGTGCCCATGGGAGCGTCCCCGAGGTTGAGGCCACCTTCCTCCTCGTCTTCCTCGCCAAGATCTGTAGCCAGGACTTCCACTTCGGCATCCTTGATCTTTGGCGGCTTCTGGAAGTCCAGGAGGTTGATCTGATAGCTCCCATCCCGTTGCTCCAGAAGAGGCACTGCCAGGTGCGCCTTGGTAAAGGTCGCGAGACCCTGGCGCATGTCGATGATGGCTCCCAAGCACTTCATGAACCGCTTGGAGATGAGGAGAGGTACGTCCCCCGGCACCACATGCACTCGCAGCCACAGCTGCACCCCGGCCAGGAACACTGGGATCTGCACCGTACGGTGGGAGACGTCCACCGCACTGTTTCCGTAGCGAAACTTGTGAGGTTGATGCAGCATCTCCTTGATCTCGTAGCCATGTTCATTGAGCACCTTCTCATGCCGCTGCAATGTCTTTTCCCCAACAAGTCCTCGTCCACAGCCCGTGTCAACTACTCCATGACCCGCTGCATGGACAAGGGCTACGACCGTCTCACCATCGAGGTACTCGGCCTCCTCGTCAGTCTCCTCCATCATTGAATCTTCCGAGCCGGACTCCTTCAACGCCTCCTCTTGCGCAATGTCCAGCTCATCTCTGTAAGCCTGCGCCAACATGTCGATCTCTTCATCGATGGGCGTGAACGGAAGATCCTTCATGTAGAACACCGTCCGGCCGGTCCACTCCACACCAACATCCTTATGTGCTTCCCCTCGAGCCTTCCAGTTGTGGGAGAAGTGCACCGCATGGGATCCATCTTCCTTGAGAAGGTGCGTCGACCGACTGTCGCACAGCTCGTGAAGGGGCACTGGACAATTGGAAGCAGCCGGGGTGAACAGTCTTGTCCTTGGCAGTACATGTTCACGGATCACCTCCGCCCCTCGGGTGTACCAGAAGTCTCTCGGCACATGGCTCCATCCTTCAACCAATGCCTGCATCTCATGCCCATACATCTCCGGGCCGATGGGCGGGTTGTAGTTCTGCTCCAACTCACCGTCCTCATTCTCATCCAGCGTCCAGTGATGCTCCGTCCGGATGTTCGGTGTGTCCGGTTGGTTCCACACCATGAAGACGTAGTTCACCTTTGTGCCACCTCCCGTAGGATTGTTGCCATCCTTGTTCGAGCCCTTGCTTCCTCCCTTGCCTCGTTTGGGGCAATCTCGAGAGAAATGGCCCACCTGTCGACACTTGAAGCACTTGACCCGGGCGGCCAACTTCTTCAGCTGACCCTGGTTTCCAAAACCTCTTGACATCTTGGTCTGTGCAATCGAGCTCCGTGTCTGTTTCCAGGTCAGGAGGGCATCAATGGCATCCTGTTCTTCAATTTCTTCCTCCGGCTGATAGCCGGCATCGGTGAGGTACACGTCAAACTCTTCCTCCATGGTCTCTTCATCGTCGTCCACCTGGCCCTGGTCGTACTCCACCTGGTAGGCATGTGAACTCGTTCGGAGTGCTGCTGCCACGTCCTTCTCAGCGTAGCTCTGTCTCGCCGCTGCCATCACCACGGCTTTCCTCTCAGCACTCAACTTGGCGAAACGCAGCAACAAGTATCCTCGGGCGACATCGGGTAGCACCACTCCCTCGGCTTCCGCCGACGAAAACGCTGCCCTCACCTTGCCCGTGAACACCGCCGTCGTCTCCCCTTTCTCCACCTTGAGGTCGAAGACCTGGTCGAGCACACTTCCCAGTCTGTCATGGGTGGTTTCAGCCGGGAACCTGTCATCCAAGATCTGGAAGATCACCTCCTCGCCCCCGATCTCCTCCACCCGGTCCATGGGCACCTGGTCTAGTGCTCGAAGTGCAGTGCCGTCCAGAAGCGAGAACACCAGTGATCCATGGGCCTCAGGACCAACCCCTTTCGCCTTCTGAACTGTGAGGTAGGCTCTGCACGATCTCCTCCATCGCTCGTAGTCCTTCGCCGGGTTCGAGCCATCCCCATCGAACCGCTTGGTCAGACCACCCTCCGTCTTCTTCTCCTCACTCATGCTCTTCTCTCACGCGGCGCCCCTGTGAAGGGGCTCCGCTACCAGTTTGAACTGGCTTGCCTGTGAGCGCCTGCTCCACCAAAGCCGCAAAGCCCTTTTCCACGGTTCAAGGGCTGGCCGTCAGGCCATCCATAGCGTTCCTACGCTAAGCCTGCAAAAGGTTCCAGCCTAAAAGGCAAACGGACATGTCAGGTGAGCCAATCCGTGAAAATCACAACTAGTTTCCTGAAGGACCAGGCCTCATGGACTCTCCACAGAAGTCAGCTGAGACTTGGTATTCACATGTCTGAAAAGGCCAGCAACCCAATGCTCTACAAATGCCCTGGGGGGGTAAACTCTGGCAACCCTGATAAGAGGGATGCTTGACAGTAAGTGCCGATGCAAATGCAGTGGAAACGCCTCACCGCTGTTGTTGCTCAGGACCGCTCTGTCTCGACTTCAGGCCTGCACCAAGGGGCTGGGAAAATCGTGTGGCCGCAGAGTAACAAGAAGCTACTAGGGGCTCCTAGCATCGCTACTAGGAGCAAGGACGCCACTATAGGGGCTCCTGGCCTTGCTACTAGTAACAAGAAGCTACTAGGGGCTCCTGCCATCGCTACTAGGAGCAAGGACGCCACTGAAGCAAGTTAGCAGGATCTTGCCAGCACCCCTCCATGAGGCTAAAGGAGAACAACTGAAAAGGGAAATAGTACAGGACGAGAGGGAAAGCGCAAAATCACAAGCGCAGTAGCTGCAAGGTAGTTTTTCATAATCTGCCGGTTTGGCCTTGGAAATCACTCATGCCTGTTGCCGGAACATCGAAAGCTGCCACTAACTTCTCGTGGCTACATCCGTCTGAAGCAACACAAAGATTCCGGCCACCTGAATCATCCGCTTGTGGGAAGAGAATCAGTCAATTGGCCAATATTGCGCAAATTCTCAAGTTGCTGCAAAGTGTGGGAGGCATCTTGGCCAAGTGCGGGGTCGATGTCCAACACAGCTGCAAGATCGAGCTTCAGCCCGTCCATCCCTTCAACCGGTTCCCTCGTCTTGTCCATCCATTCAGCCCGTTTCCGCATTTCCCCAAACAATTCTCTGCATTCTTTCTTTTTGAGCTCGATAACTTCAGGACTGCTCGTGTCGCCCGTGACGAACTGAACCAGGCTGAGGATCTCCTGAACCTTGCCATGCATTACCGTCAACTCGCCTTCGATGCTTTCCAAGTTCCCTTCTGCGTCTTTCAACTTCTTCTCCACGAAGCCCATGTACTCTTTGAGGTGCTCGAGGTCCTTTTGGAGCCAGTCCAGCCATTGGCCCACATCCACATAGAGCTTGAGGAGGGCGGCCTTGAACACCTCAAAACCTGCCTCGCCCCTCAGTGAGACTATGGCAGCAATTGAATGGAGGAGCACTGCAATGGGCCACTGCCGGTGTCCAAAGTGCTTGGCCAGCCACAAAGCCAAGCGGACTGCTGATTCTACAGCTGGAACGGTCAGGTGTCCAAGATGCTTAGTAGCCACCATCAGAGTACAAAGGCCACTTTGGGTCATGCATGCAATGCACACACCTTGAAAAACCACTTTGGAGATCACCAAGCCCCCCAAAGTCAGACCAGCTGCCGAGCTGGCACAAAAAACTCCCGTAGCAGTGGCACCAACCGCGCTAACTACGCCCAGTAGAATGCAAATGCTCTGGTTGTCCATGCCAAGCTGCACACAGCTGCTCACAAATTCCGCCACTTTCGTCGCCACAGTGAACATGTCAGTGTTGATTTTTTCCAAACTGCGCATAGAATCTAGAAGATTCCCACAACTTGATTGCTGGGAAATGTGGCCGGCCTCACGGACTTTCTTCAGAGCAAGATCCAAGGCTTCTGTATTGTTCAAGGTGCACTCAAGTTCTGTCATTGCTTGCCCAAAAGCAGGCCAGTTACCGTACTGAATGTGATTGTTAGCCGTCGCGATCTGGGAAGTGATGCAATCCAAGTGATTGCTGAGCTTTTTACGGAAATGTTGAACCTCGAGCGACTTCTCCTTCATCTGGGAGAGATCTTTCTGCAAGGTCTGGAGGCGTGTTGAAGCCTTGTGCAGTCCTTGCAAGATTGTGCCAACGGATCCCACAATCTTCTCCTTGAGATCCTGCGGAGAATGTGACAAAGAATCCTGAAAGGCGCACAAGCTCCGATTAATATCTGGCGCGCCTGCTCTCACTTGATAGGTCAAGAATTGAAGCAGGGGCATGGAGTCATCACCCAGGACTTCTCCCAGCTTTTCCAGCATCTGGCCCCTGTATTTGGGCATGCCATGGTCCTCAATGCTCCCTGTCCCTTTCCCATCATCATCGCTCTCCATCCTTTCTGCCAGCGCATGTGGCTGACATGGCTTACATTGGATGAAATCTACCTCTCCAGGCTTCAGCAGGATGTGGGAGCAAAGGTGCTCGTAATCGTTCAATTGCGATTTTACATTCTCTGGCAGAGTCAGCCCCATTGCCGACCCAAATGACCTCAAGCACCCCAAAGGGGCGAAGTCCAGGTTGAACGGAAGCCTGGGAACCACATCATTGTTGTTAACGAAATTCACACAATGCTCCTGCATCCAGGCTCTGGCTTCACGATTGTGCCCCCGTTGGCCGACAGTGCCACGCTCTTTCTGCACAAAAGGTGCCGGACTCCCAAAGAGGATGCCACGAGCATTCTTCATGAGTTCATTGTTGTAAAGTGGGCTCTCCCTATTCGTGGCCTCCAGCCACATGAAGGCCATGGCAATTTGCACCAAAGCCCCCCCAAGCGAATGGCCAAGAAGTAGAATCTTGTCATGATCCAGCCCTGCCAGGGCCTCTTTGAGCTTGCGATGGAGGCTTTGATCTGACACTGCGGCATGCCACCCGGAATGAACTCCAAGCAGTATGTCTGCAAAGGGGCTCCAGTTGACGGCGGCTCCCAGATTCTTGATCCAATCGTTCAAATCGACTGTCCCGCGGAACGCCAAGACGTAGATCTTCATCGCTTGAGCCAGCGCTCCACCTGACAAGTGGACATCAAAGCTGCTGAACTCGTCCTCTCTCACCTGAGATGTGATTTCCAAATCAACTGCCGTGCACAGAACTCACCTCATTCAAAGTTATGTAATTGTTCACATGTCTGCATCCAAGCAGCTCGTAGTGTTGCCTTGGCTGTGTAGATGCAACCGTTACGACAATCCAAAGACCAGGTGGGATTTTCTTCGGCATCCTGGTCGTAGGTCCACTGGGCTGCCTCCAGCGCCAGCCAATACATCCTCAGTGGCTGGAGGGTTGGCTTTCAGAGGTAAGCACATCAAAATTCAAGCCCTTTAGGAAAAGCCTCATACGCCAACCCTCCGCTCACTATACCTTTGAGAAAATCCAACGCTGGCTTTCCAATTGCTGCCCTGCGATGATGAATCCTCTCTGGCAACACTCTGCACGTGCAACCTCGTTGCCACCTCTTTTCTTCAAGACTGGTGCAATTGAGGCTGCCGACTTTAGTCATGGCTTGCCTGCTCAGAATGCTTTCTCATCAATCCTGCACCCAATCCGATGATACATGTTAGAAGCCAACATGGTCCCAACAACAAGGATCGGGCAACACCCTTTAACTCAACCAAGGCTCAGGTTGCGCTCGATCTTCTCCATCTTTTGTGCCAACACAGGCGAACTCTAAAGCTTTTCTCCAGCTGGAAAGGCTGCGAAGGCCGAATCGCAAGCGCCAAACCAAACTCAACTGAATTTGAACAGCAAGCTGAATGAGGACAAATCCTCCTCAACACTCGTTTTAAACTAGCAAGTTGCTCTCACCTACTGAAATTATCCTAGCGTCCTCATGCATTTTCCCCTGCATCGGCCTTCCCAAAGGAAGGAATTCGCAGGAGGGCCTGGAAGCCACCGTCCTGGACAGAATGGGCCTTCCTGTTTGTGCATTCCACCTTTGGTGAGTACAAACACAGCCCCCCAAAAAAAAGGAACTCGATCATGGCAGACTTTTCAAAAGGTGGTGGATGTGAAAATCAAGCCGATATTTGCACGGAATTCATGTTGAAACACCATTCGATCACACTAGATCCTGGGTGGGGCCCAGGGTCAACACCTCGCAGCTTCTTCGCTCCCACCTGGCAAGCAGTCCTTCCTGACAGCAGCCCGCCAGCAGCTACTGCGACCTCTTCACCACTGGCCAAAGTCTCCAGTTAATCCAAGCTCAGCTGCTCCGGCTCACAAAAACAACATAGAATGACAACAATTTTGTAACGTATCTACCAATGGCTATTTACCCATCATTCTTTTTTGGCATGTCCTTCTTGGGATGAGACCTTGGAGGTACGAGCGTTTTGTATTGCATCCCTTGTGCAAGTGCAGGCCGGACGCCAGGCACCTGTTTGCTTCTTAACATGATTTGTCAAACTACCATCTTTTGTGATGCTCTTATACCAGGGGGTCATGAACTACCTAACATCCCGACCTTGCCTTCAAGTATTCAAGTTCCAAACCCAAACCGGCTCACTGATATTCACCGGCCGATCAATCTGAAAGACCTTGAGCCACGAATGGTAGCACAGTCTTTCACGACAAGTGCCCGCAAGTCGTTCCATGCCTTTCCTTTAAAGTTGCAATGTCCAAGATTCACAAAGATTCACCACCTTCTGTCCACAAACAAATCTTCATCTTCAGGCCCTTTTCATCTTCGGGTGCTTCAGAGAGCGCCAATGTGACGAAAAAGAAACACCCATCACCAAACCTGATACACTCCCTAGGCCCTAAACTTATCATGGAAGTGGAAAACCGCCTGCTTGTAGAAGAAAATGGTCATCCAAGGGGCCAAACCATCCACGTAACCATGTTTCCAGGGCATGTATCCCAAACTTGTACCCAGAGCCTCCTCTTTTCTCCTCAGCCCCCTCTCTTCAGCGAGGATCCTACAGATCGAATGCGTTGCTCGATCAAGCTCAAAACCAGCCGAGTTGGTGCGGTTTTCGCGGCCGAAACGTTTCGGAGGGCAGTGCTATTTGCAGGAGCAAGCTGGAATTCTGGAGGCCCATTTGGCTGCAAGAAATGGAGCGCAAGCCTTCTATTCCTTCTATCGCTTCATGTCTTGCTCCACTCTCTGAAGACGCAATGTTCTGCTAATTTGGGGCAGACTTGCAGTCATCAGGCTGATCAGGGAGAACCTCCTTCTGTTGCTTCAACCATGTCCTTGCACCAACTGGAGAGGAAGTCCAGCTGCCTCCAGCGACCCGCGTCGTCGCTTCTCACCACCTCCCAGTCGACCCAGGTCGACGCAGCGCTCGAAGCATCCACGGCAGCACGCCGACGCCGCGCGTGCTGAACCGCTATCCCATTATGGCAGCTACTCCAGGGCAGCACGCCGGCAAAGACGATCTCTATTTTTTTTTTCGGGGGGGAAGGTCGGAGGTGGGCCAGATGCTTTTTGGAAGCAAACTCCTTCGGAACGGTGATGCTTTAAACACTTTTGGGGAGGAGGTGGCTTCAGGATTCCAAAAGAGCCGTGCGGAATGAAGGGAAGACTGTGTGAGTACGCTGACCTTCTTTTCGGCGATGCAACGCGAGGGGGATGTGCTTAGATCAGCGTTTCACAAATCCTCATCACAATTGATGCTCAAGAGTGATCGACGAGGCAGTGGGTCATCGCGGGAATCAAGTAACACAAGGCAGGCACAACCCATGCGTACTACCTGGGGGGCTCAAAGTTCAGGGGCATACAAGTCATATTATTCTTAAACGTTTCAACCTCGTGAAGTTTACCCTAGCCCCAGCTAAAAGGCCTTGGAGTGGGGACAACTCCTGACATGTAACATAGGACAGCACGGGCAACCCGTGAGCTGCACACTCAGCAAATCCTACCATTTCTTGGCGCTCACCTCTGCAAAGTCACAAGGCTTGAGGCGCATTTTTGGGAGGACGCGCGATGGCTGCGCATGGACTTCTCCCTCCTCACGTCCTCTCAGTTGGGACGTGGTAAGAGATCCCGCCACTCCACAGAGCTGCTAGTTGCAATGCATCCCGAAGCCACGGAAGACTCCAAGGGAGAACCATCGGGACCAGCCACCCTCTGCGTCTGCATGAGTGATCAACAAGGACGGAAAACCGTTTGAAAATGTCTTCGATCCGTTCACCATCATGCGCATTTCAACGCGGCAGCAGGGCTGATCCTCCGCCCTCACCCTCGCTCGCTCGTCCTCGCTCGTCCGTCCTCCGTCGGCCCGCGGAGCCGTCAGGACGCTCCCCGTCGGCGGCCTGGTGCGCGGTGCCAAGGCGGCGACGCGACGCGGTGGATGGCCAGCTGTTCGCAGGTCCGCGTGAGAAATCTGCGAGGGTTGCAGGGGTGGAGGATGAATGACCCGGAACAAAAGGAGAGCAACAAGAAGATAGATAGAAGGGATGTGAGTTCGAGCTCGTTCCTTTCAGAAGCCTTCTCTTTCATCAGGAAAACATCCCGCCCAGGTCCGGGCTTCCGTTGCTCCCAACAGGTCCGGAAACGAAGGGAACGGGATCTGGCTTCGTTGTGCCGCTGGAAGGGCACATCAAGAAGTCAAAGTGTTTCTACATGTTTCTACAAATCCTTTTGAGGCTGTTCACCTACAGCTGGTCAAGCTCAACTTGGAGACTGATCTTCAGAACATGCGAAGTTTGAAACTTGGAGTCACCTGCCCGCACCTTCTGTTCAGCGCTTTCTGGGTGGACCAGGGATGCACAGTGTCTAACCGAGTCTAACCACATCCACGCTCAGCCTTCACATTCGGTGCGAGGGAATCTACTGCAGCTACTGCTCAGCAATCCTTCCATGTGGCGACCAGACCCGCGATGGGGCGAGGAAGAAGGATTTCTCTGGGCGTCTTCCTTGGGCTGCATTGGCTTTCGGACGGTAGGTCGTCGGTTTGCAATCTAAGTGGGTGGGTGACGGAAAGCCCTCGTGGTGCAAAGACCAAAACCTGCGCCCGTTTGATTCACCCTTTGGCTGGTGAAAGAACGCAGCTACGGGAAACTAAGGGCATGGGCATGGGTGTAAGATGGTGGAAGGAGACTTTGTGCAAATACATGTTCTAGTAAAACTGCACGATTTGAAGTAGCAGCTTTCCAATGTCGGGGCTCGTTGACTGCAAGAGGTGCACTATGAACCGACCCTGCCGACAAGACTTCACAAGAGGCAAGAGACTCACTCTCCACAAGCTGGCCTTTGCCCCGGTCACAGAACCGGAAGGAACTGGTGACGGACCAAACTCCAACGTTTCCCGTGTCGCGTACATCGGACGTGGTGGTCCATGAACAGAACCAAGGACACCCACAGACATGGGGACAGCGCTCATGGCGTTCATGCGTCTTTTCATTCAATTGTGCTGACCCATTGCTAGCATCTGACAAAATCAAGTCCCACCAACTGCTCCAGGTGGAGACTTTGCTGTTGGACCACTCCAGCGAATGCCAGAGGATGGGCCAATCCTCTGCAGCGTCCAAGATCTTCAGCTGTGGATTCCTCTGCTGAATTCTATAATCGGATGCTGGAATTCCAATGGGCTCAAATCTCAGCAGGCCCCCCCCTCCATTTGGCCGGACCACACCCCGCGCTGGCACACCGAACACATCCATTCAGCGCCTCGCCAGCGCTGATTGCGCCGTGCACCACTCGCCCGGACGCGTGCACTTCGAAGCCGAGCGCGCTCTCCGCGAGGCCCGCGCCTGCTCATGTCACCGAAGTCCACACCACCTCACTGTCCTCACCAGGCTCTGGGCAAGAAGTGGTCGAACACAGCCCGCTGAGCCCGGGTCTATCGCAGAGTCTTGGGGCTGGGAGGGAAGCCATTGACAAAACAGCCTGAAGGTGGAGTGATGTGCCTTATTGCTCCTTTGGGGAAATTAAAGACTTTCAACACCTCAATCGTCCCCGGGCATTGTTCATGAAAAAATGTCAACAGGAATCGTGTAGTAGATTATGTTGTACCAGCATCTAGGATCTTAGCAACACACAGACTAGAGTGACTAGATCATGGGACGAGACTTTGTCGTCGAGTTGCCTCCTTAGAAGAGCTTCATTGGACACTCTGGACAAATGCACGTCGCATCATCCAGAGCAGACTCTAGGACTTTAAGCCTTTAGCAGGTCTTCCTTGGAACGACTCCAAACCAAGTGCTCGCAGGCAGGGTGCTGGCCAAGCTCCACCTGGCACACTGCGGAGTTGCGAAGTTCAAGCTTTGGGCAATGCCGAATGAGATGATTTCATCTCCCCCGCCCCCTGCACTCCAACATGACAAAGTATTGTTGTACAATCAGCTGCTCTCCTCTCTCAAAAACTTGCTATCCTTATTCAATGGGCTTCTTGGGGAAGTCAGGGACAAACACATCGACCACAGCAGGCCCTTTTGGGCAAAACAGACCTGAACGCCCCCGAACCACCGGCCGATCAGGATTTCGGAAGTGAGGTAGTCTAGACAATGCTACGGTGTTTGAACTGAGCTGGAGGCAAACCTGGATGTTCTAGAGCCTTTGTGAACGGTTTTTGGAATTGAAAAAGTTGCTTTACTGGGCCTTACTTCCCTACCGGGGCCTGTTCACATTGAAGTGATCAGGCACTGTGCTGATCTAAGATTCAAAAACTTACGCACTCTTTGGCAAATCTGAGATTTGTGTTACGGAGAGGTGCTAACAAAGACTTTATTGTGGGGAGTGGCACGTTGGCTTCTTCTTGGCCACTCTCCTCAAAATGGATTCTGAAGACCTTATCAATAAAGTACCCTCGCGTTGCGTTATGTTCATGAAAGGGCGTCAACAGAAATGACTGGGCAGAAGCACTGCCAAGATCTAAGCAATAAAAGCACTCGGTCAAAGCAAGAAGACCCTTGATTGAAGCGCTTTCCTTCCAGTTCTAGACTTTTAATCCATGTGTTGCGTAGCTTCGAACAAGGACAGAACCAGGGCTCGTCAGCCTGCAGACAGCTTTCAGAGGGGCTGATCCGCTGGTAAGGGGCACTTCCCAGGCGAGTTCCTTGCCCTCGGACCGTCTAGGGGAATGTCCAACCACTGGGGAGGTGTTTTACAAAGCTTATTTGGCCAAAGGCTGCAATGAAGGATTGATTATGCATTAGACACTATCCTCTAGGTAGTTTCTAAGACTATAGCTTTTTGACTGCAAACAAGGACACAGAGTGAAGCTCATGCTGTCTCGCTGAAAGGGATGATATGCTTGTCAACCTGGTTCGGAGCCTTAAAGACTCAAAATCATCGAAGCTCCTCGGTAGGTAGGAGAGCCTCCCTCCGTGCAATGAAAAGTGCGAGGCACTCGCGCTTCTTCACACAACCGAGGCTTGAAAGGCTCCACTTGAACCGCCTGAGCATCTGCTAACAAACACCCAGGTGCTTCGAATACCGCGACGTGGGTCATTTTGCTTCGGCCAAGTAGGGGCAAGGGTCGGACCAGGGCAAGCCATGAGGCCCACGAGGTCGTGGAGCTCACCAGGCTCACCACGTGGCACAGACGATGTTACAGAGCAAGTGAGGCTAGGCTGAGGCTCACATGGGCCAATCACCAACTTCCTCGTTGAGCTTCAAAGTTGGACCGTGCATCTCGGAGATGATCCGCTTGGACCAACACTCCTGCAGGCACTAAAGGCACTGCCTTTCAGGCGGCATTAAGGGCTGCCCGGACCCAACTCAAGATCCAGCGTTCACGAATGAGGGGTCCAAATGCAGTTGAAGGGGATGTTATTAGTTATGAGTTATGAGTGGGATGAAGCTACTCGCATCACAGCCGGCCATCGGTTGAAGCCTGCCATCAGCGTAAGAACTAGAAGAAACACTTTCCAAAAGAAATTTCGGCGAAAGCTCTTTGCTAAATGCTCTTGAACTTCGAGGTGTCTCACTTCAATAAGGCTCACAGAAAGTCCATGTGTGCTGCACCCCTCCTGCCACGCAACGTACGCAATGTGCGCACGGGAGACGGGTGCCTCATCGCCAGGTGACAACATCCAGTGGTTAGTTAGCTGGTGAAATGCACCCCGTCTGCACGACATTCACCGCACATACGTCAGTTGGTCAACGTTGGTCGGGCACTGGTTGAAAATGCTTTATCCGTGGTCTGTGCAGAAAAGTGAAAATGGAGTTCCTGGAGGAAGCATCCTCCCCCATCTTCAGCATTTAGCTGCCATCGCACGGCACCAAATCACTCGAAGGTGCGTCTTTCCGTGTCAGCCTAGCGACCAGGCTCATGCCATCTCAGGAAGGCCAATTCAGTGAGTGCTCCAAGCCCATCGAACCATGCTGTGGAGGGCGAAAACATCAATGAAACATTTCAGCGCTCCAAAAGAGGGCGTTTGACATCAGCCGGTGGGCCTCCCTAGGCTCAACCCATGGTTCAACTGAGGCACGCGCTTGGGGCTCAGTGCAATCACTGCCGTCACTCGGACGGTTGGACTGTTTTTGTCGGCCCGTGCCCTCACACTCCCCATGCCCAGGGCCGATCAGGCTCAGCTGCATCGTTCAAGATGTCACAGCTGATTGCATGCCACTAAGAAACCCTCAGTTCTTGTGGAAGGCGCGAACTTGGGGCAGCACGCCCATGATGCAAACCTGCTGCATTTTGGAGGGGCAGATGGGCAAATGGGCGGATAGGCACGCCTCCGCCCAAGCCTCTCAAAGCAAAGGAGGAGCAATTCACAAGAGAAAGTGAGGACGTGTGCTTTCTGCGTTTCAGCTGGCCTGAAAAAGCATCTTCTGGCCCCAAGGCCAAAGGGAGACAAATAAGTCATGTAAATCTATGGGCCATCCATGGATTCCATGTGCCATCAGCACAGGCTCCCACCGGAGCAGCCTCCTTTGTTCCCTGCACGCAGCTACAAAACCCTGGGTGACCAAAGTTGGGCTTGTTTCGACGAGGTGCTGAGGCGCGGTAGCAGAAACAGAAGGACATTGCAAACGCTCAAAATCATCGAAGTAGATTTCAGCCAATCTGGGTTCACTTCCCGATTCCCTACCAATCAGCAGGGGCGGTCACGGAAACCAAACCGAGGAGAAAGATTTTGATGTTTGAAGGCCTCTTCCTCGCCCAGGATGTCGGCCCCACCACTCCAAACACCTGGCCAACGGGAAGGGAGCCAGAACGCCACTGCCCAGGCTGGTGCGAAGGCTTCGGCGCTTCATGGCTGGGATCTGCTGATGTGACGAAAGCAAGGGGCCCCAAAGGCGGGACCTGGATTCCAAGAGCTTATGTTCGAAGAGGACGATTCAAAAGCTATTCACCGTGGAGGATTCAAAGCTATGGGGAGTTACATCATGTTACATAGATCCTTTCAAAAGCATCCTCTCACCAAGCATCCTTTCAAAAAAAGGAACGGGGAAACGAAGCGGATCGAGCCAGCGACCTGGCCGAGCGGAGGGTTGGCACCCTAAAGTGACGTAAGGCTTTGCGTCACATAGCGCCTAGCCGCCACGCCTTGATGAACCATGCGCGGTGCCAATCTGGCACCCCTGCAGGGCTCACGAAACGGTCAGCCAGCCACACGAATGAGCGGCAGCGGCACGGCACAGATTTCCACACGAGCCGCACTGGAAGGGACGCCAGGCACCGAAAGAACTTCCGTCCCCAGCACCTCGCCGGAACGCCCGGTCGACCGACGCCTGTAACACAGAAGGTCCCCGTCGGCGCGCAGCATAAGGCAAGGCGTCGAGGACTGGACTGGCTGTCGCCCTTGGTGCGTCGATGTGTGAGATGACCTGGCACAACAAGTCAATTTGGAAGGGTGATGAAAATGGACCAGCTGAGAAATTGGTTGAAACAATTTTAGCCCATGCCGCAAAAAGAAGCGAGTCCATGAGGTGTTTGATGCAAACATGCGCTTTTTGCGGCGGTCGCTCAACACACTTGAAAACCTCATGCAGCATGCTTGGGAGGAAAAAGATTATATAACAAAAATCAAGTTGGAGGATGTCTCATGTTGTTTTTCATTTGAGATTTTGTGTTTTGTCATCTTTACCATTCTTTACCGTTTTTGCTCCAACACCCACCTGCTGGCCGGCCCTTCACTCCATCACACCCGCGTATACGGCTGCTTGCCCACTGCTCGCCCACTGATGAGATGCAGTCCCCGCACACGTTGATGGCGGGCGCCAGGCTGCTGGGAGCTCTACTCTTCCAGCCACTCCTCTAGCCTCAAAGTTGGAATGTCCCGGAGTATCTGGTGGTTTTACTCCAGAAAAGATCTATATAAAGCTCAGGGGGTCTTCAGCTGAGGGGACTTTTTCAGGTGTGTTCTTCATGTTCTGAGCTGCTTCTTCCTGCAATGGTTCCGAAACACGTCACCGGAAACATGGAAGGATGGGTTTCCGAAACGCGTCATAGAAAAAAGGTTCCCGGGCCACCTCTCGAGGTATCGTAGCACCGCCCGGTCCACTAGATAGTCTGCCTCGACGCTTTTCAAAGAGAGTCTTGCCGCCAGAAGCAAGGATGCCAAATGGCACCGGTCGTAAGGCACACGAGCTTCAAGGGGCCACATGGCAACCCCGCCACTGTATGAGCCAAAAAGGGTGCCATCAGCAATGCAGGCCACATGTTTCAGAACCGAAAGGACGCGTGGTGTGGGTACCAATAGAAGGGGCATTGTCTCAGTGGGATGCCCCCCCTTGTCTCAGTTGTTTGAGCAAACTTGGCTGTTGCAAATTGCAATCCCACAGCGTTTGGAAGCCTTGAGTCAATGATTCCCGGATGAGAGCATCTTTTGTTAACGCCCCTGAAACTTAGACAACGCCAAGAGCTTCTCTCATGAACATCTCACAGAGTCTTTCATCTTCCAGCTGGCCTTGCGGCACAGCGAGTTATCAGAGAACACTTGACAGACGGGCATGCCGACCATGCCGGGCACGACACTGCACCACCACCATCGTGCACATCATTCCATGACCAGCAGCGCGGCGCGCTCCCTTTTCCAGCCGCCAGGCGTCGAAGAGACTGAGCGAAGCAGGGCCCGTGTGCCATCGAGCCATCTTCACTCACTGGTGCATCACTGGTGCATCTTCCATCGCTCACGGGTTCTCTTCCCTTCGCATCTGCAAGATCTGCCACAGCCAGGAGAGATAGGGCGCAGAGCTGTGGTCGAGTGAGATCCAATCTGTTTGCAATTTGAGTATCTTCATGGCCTCCAAAAAGTGGTCGGTGGCCCCCAGAAATATCTCCGAGTGGTTTATTCTTTGATCAACTTGCCACCGTTTGAAACCCTGCGTATTGATGGAGGATCTAGAAGGACTCCGTCTGCGGCGTCTTCATGCACGGGGACGAATCCCATGCAACCAACCCTAAAGGCTTTGAACATAGCGAGGTTCCTGTGCAAACAGGCTTAGAGATATTGTTGAAGCAATTTTGATGTAAACAGTCAGAAGAACAACACGGAAACAAAAGACATGTTTAAGCACTTGCAAGTGGACCAGTTTGGCTTCAATGGCAATTACATCAGACAAAGATTGCATGGGAATTGTCTTACAGCAACTTTTGCACCGCACATGCAGTATGCACACATGTCCAATATATGGACTGTGACTACAGTAGTAGACGAGTAGACTACACTTCTTCCGGGCCGATCAGAGCCGTCATACCAGGACCGAACGACGCTCCTCAGAACCGAAGGCCGATCCAAAAGAACCCGAGGAGCGCCGATCACCGCTCAACTGGCGACGAGGCATGTGCCATGTGCTGGCTACAACCATCAAGTCAAGCCATCATCTCTGGTTGCTGAAGCCATTCCAACAAAAGCTGTGCAACACATCACAAGCGAGGAAAGTGCATTGCAAAGGATGACCGAAGAGCCGAAGAGCATAAGGTTCTGGCAAAATGCCAATCACATATACTGTATACTATATGACATTGACTTAATTGGGAGAAAAGAATTTGCATAATTATTGGTTCTGAGAACTGCACATGCACCAAGTATGTGATTGCACCACTTGCCTAGGTGTGGATTTCTCTTCAATGATGATCGGCCACCTAACAAAAGTATATCATCAATGCCCACGGCAACCCATGGGCCCCTGTGCGCCGCCTGTGCGCGACGTTCGGGGCAACAACTCGCCCGACTGCAAGATCACGCACCAAAGAGATGACAAGTCTAGCTGACCGGGCCGGCCTTGGGACATCTTCCAAAATTGAGTCGCCTGAAAACCTGCTTGGTCACTTTCTGGACCTGAAAACATCATCTTCATGTGGCAACTCTGCCGTTCGTGCCACCAGTCGTCCGGCACCGGCGTCCGACCCGCTTCCGGCACCTGGCCGGCTTCACCAGGCATCGCCAGAGGTTCCAGTCCCCGAAACGACCACGACTGCACCACGACCACGTCACGCTCCGCCGAGCCGCGCCACCTGCGCGCGGCACGGCGCGGGTCACGGCACGGCACAGGGCGCGGTCGGGGGGTGCGCCGCGCGCCCCAGAAATCGCAGCGTCCAGGCGTCCAACCCGTTCAGGTCGAATGGAAAGGAGCATCCGTAGGAATCACAGGAATCGGCAGGTCGACCGAGACGCGGCGTCTGTTCCGAGCTGATGCTACGAGATGAGCACCCTGGTGCCCGGCTCTACGAGAGGGAGCGCCTCTGGTCGGAGCTGGTTTACTGCGCCTTGGCCACTTGGTGTCTCATAGCTCCGCATTGCACACCACTCAACGAGCACACGCGTTGAAGGAGCACATCCACACGATGGTTCCACACATGCCAGCGTTTCTGGGTGCGGGCTCGCGGGCTTTGGGGTGGGAAAGAATTTCCGGCATCAACTCTACTACAGTCACCTGGGACTTCAGAAGAAGCTTTTAGGGGATAAAGATGGGATGGTCAGTGTTCCAGACCGTCTTTGCAAAGGACAGGCGGGCTGTAGTCAACCGGAGGTGCAAAATGGGAGTTTTACATCAGTTACAGTTACAGTTACAGTTACATCATGCAAAAAATCTCATTGGGTCATCGGGGACTTCTGGCTATCCCACCTTCACCATTACCCAATCAGGGGTGCCGTCACATCACAATCTGTGTGGCCTGAGCAGCTTTCTCTTCCGCCTCACGCGGAACGTCTCGCACGAAACGTGCACCGAACTTCTGTCGAAATTGATCTCAGCATTGTTCCCGCAGGACCCCGAGGCCCTCGTGGAGCGGCCCAACACGACCGCGCGCACGACGCGCACCTGACAGGCACCGTGCCAGGCACCAACAGCACAACCGAACGTCAAGACCTCCGAAGTCACTTGGGGCCACGAACTCCGAAGGAATCGAAAGCGGTGCTTGGGGAAGATCCGAATCTTGTGTCAAGCACGGCCTAAGGCCAACAGGCTGCCCTTCCCAAACAGCTCCTGCCAATGGCTCTGGGGGCTATTTAAATCAATCTTTGAGGCTAAGAACATGAAGATACCAAGTCAAGAAAAGGCCAGCCAAGTCTTTTTGCATATGGAAAAACATGGAGAAACTGACTGGTCTCCAGCTTTCGGACGAAACCGCTGGCACCAAGTAAGGCCCGTTATGCTACGGAAAGGAAGACGTTCGAAAGGGCATGATGAGACTCCTGAGCCGTTCAGCATGTTTCTGTGATCCTGGGTGCTCCTGGACCATTGGTCCTGGACCTTGCAGAGATGGCAGCCAGAAAGAAACGAAGAAACGAAGGTCAGGCACCCAGCTCCCCAAGTGGAGTCCGGCATCCAACCAGATCCTCTCCCAGAAGGGTCAGCGTTGCAGACTTCAACGTGTTGCACAGGCCTTTCAGGGCTTTCTTGGTAGCCTTTCTTTATGGCCAGTTCTTGAGCCATTGAGCAGCACGTCAGCCCATGTTTCAGCCTTCACCTTCTTGCAGGCAGCCGGTGCAACTGTTGAAAACTCATGGGCACATAAGAAACCTCTTGCAAAGAGATCCTAACACCAACCGGAATTTACTTGTGAGCCATAGAACACCTCCAACCCAAGTGGGAAACTGGACTCAAAGTACTCATCTGCTGGCCGCAGCCAAGGTCGGAAATGGACTGACGGTCAAGTGGAGGGCCAAGGACACCGAAGCACAAACACCGACGCACCACCGACGCGAAGAGTGCAGGAGCTCAGGACCCACACCGAAGCGTTCGACCGTTTCAACGAATCGGTCGAGGCTTAACACTGCTCCACAGGGTTCTTCGTGGCCACATCTGCTTTCTGGCCACATGGTGCGATTCACATCACAGTGAAGCAAAGAACTGGAAAAGTTCACTTCATGATGGGCTTTGGGTATTTTCGTTTGACCTAGCCCCGTGTTGGGGCCGCCCTATCTATTCCTTACAGTAAACTTGCTGATGTTTTGAGGCTGAATGAAAATTTGAACATGCCCAGCATGCTCGAACGCTAGTTGGGAATCAAGGCACTTGCATCCTTATTGGAGGAAACCGCATGAACCATGCTTACAGGGGCTGCTGTGCTACAGGGGGCTGCCAACTCCAGCAAAACACCCAGGGTCCATCAAATGCAACTGGACAGGTTGTTGAGCTCATTTGAGCACAGCATCTCTGGCGATGTTGGATCTCACAATGTGGAGGTCAATCGTTTGACCAGTGGCCCTCGCAAGTTGCTGTCTATTTCCAAGCATCTTCACAAAAAGAACCGCCTGCCACAATTGGCATCCCACCTGTTGGATCGTCTGTCGCTGTACTAGGGGCCAGTCAAGCTCAAGTGAGGCTTGGCAGGAAGAGCGCTCACTGGACATTTGTGACACACACGCCTGCAAAGGAGGAATGCTGCTTGGGTGCCAGCACACACCTCCTCCAATCACACAGCTTTCCATCGGGTGTTTCACAGCAAACCCATCGCTTTGAGCAGCACCCACCGGGTGCGTGCCGAAGAGCCGTCGCAGCTGCCGGGTGGGCCTCCACGCATGACAAGCCAGTAGAGCACAACTCTGGCCATGGAAGATCATCATGCAATGGACATTGGAAGGATTTTCACACACCTCCCCACCAGTGAGAGGCGCGTGATGGCCGCAAAAGGACCGCGTTCAGCTTCTGGGGGAAGGAGGACTGCTCGCCAAAGTCAAAACTCTTGTTTCAGGATGGGAGGACCAAACTGGGGCGTCCCATTTTTGGCACGCGAATTTCCGCGAACGACGCGAACACGGAGCGAACACACGAACTCCATATCGCAGCTCAGCTCAGTTCCATCGGTCCGTGGGTTTGGGGCCACGTACCAGTGCGAGGGGCCCAGCTTGTGCGTCTCGAGGCACGTGCAAACCACATCGGTCTAGTGTCTGGCCGTCACCTTCCAAGTGTGAACAATTCCACCGACCCGACTGGAGACGTGTTGGGCCTCCGCGGACTCGACAGAGGATGACAGAGCATCCCAGCTTTGCTGAGGACGTCAGGGCACATCCACCCTCTTCAACTTCAGGTCACTGAGGAAGCTCTTGCTTGACAGAATGGAAGGCAGGCATGAACCTCAGCCTACCCATAGCAACAAAAGCATCACAACAGCATCAGTCATCAGCCAGTTTATCAATGTACACTTGGAAAGCGAGCATGGCGCGTGGCTAAGCCAAGCGGGGCCTCGCAGCTACGGCGCCGAACATCCGAGACGGCACCACCATGGCCAACCAGAGCGACGGAAAACATAGAACCCGTCACG